TCCGGGCCCCCTTCTGATGATAATCAGTTGCATATTTCCACCAAACCAACAGAAGTTTCACAAGAAGTTCACAAGATCGAACGCTGCATCATGGATATTCGGTAATTGATGGAAATCAACTATCTGACTTTGAACGACAGTAAGACTGAGTTCCTTGCCATAGGATCACGGTAACTGTTGCAGAAGATGCTACTTTGATTACATTCAAGATAGGAACTGAAATTTGGGAATCATCTTCCAGTCGAACATGTCCCAGATAAATATGTCAAGTCCTGCAAGTCATGTTTCTTTCACATCTACAACATCGGCAAGATCCGCAGCTTCCTAGATACCGAAATAACAAAGCTCCTCTTGCAAACACTTGTAATCTCAAAGCTTGACTATTGCAAGTCGCTCTTTTGCAAAACATTATCTTCAATACTTTCTAAATTGCAGAAAATCTAAAACGCAGCAGCACGCGTGGTCTCTCGAACCCATCGCCATGATCATTTATCACCAGTGCTGAAATCTCCTCACTGGCTTCCTGTGAAGTACAGGATTTACTTCAAGATTCTGCTACAGACGCATAACTGCCTCTACGATGACCAGTCCTGTCACTACCTTCGCCAGCTCGTACATCTGCATGTACCCACCAGGGAACTCTGCCACACTAGATAAAACCCAGTTATCAGATGTCACACTGTACCAATGATGCACAAACTGATTAGTTTTGCCTGCAGAGAAATTCTGTGGCACATTAGATAGACTGCCTAATAAGTCTCTCACCTCTGCACTATTGTCACTGTCTAGTTCTTCAGCTATTTCCTGAAGTTGTCCTCCCTGGGACGTCGGTTTAAAAAAACACCATTTTGGTTTCCTCTGTCCTAATGGGTTGTGTCTGTTGCCTGTTGTAGGCGTCAAACCTCTGATTTCCCCTATATCTGTGGCGACTGGGTTACCATGACGTTCCTTTGGCAAGTTTGCACCCAAGTTGACTGGCATCAGTAATGTCTTTGATGCGTTTTCCAAGTTCATCCCCGAACAGATATGTTCCTTAATTCTTCGCTGGCATAGCAAAACACAGTTTTTTGTAGGGGCCTTTGAGATCAGGTTTAAACCCGTCACGGTCGCCATGAGCCCCTGCAAGGAGTCTTATTGAATCAGTAGCTTTCATGAGGGAGTCTTTAATGTCCACTTCTGTTTTATTGACAATGACACTCATGAGTGAATCTGTCACTTGGACTAAGGAAATATCATGTGCTTTCACCATTAAGTCCTGGGTCTGTTGGTCCCTCAAGTCTCTAGACCTAGTAGCAGGTTTGGCCTGTTGCCAAATTTCTTCATTGGTCTTTGGGACCCCCATTGCATCGCAATTCTTGGGTCTCTTGTACCTCCCCATTACCTCTTTCAATTTTCCCAGGTGCGGGCTCTACGTCATTCCCTCATTCACTGATTTGGCCAGGTCCTCTCTCAACGATTCCGAAGTATCGTCGTCTTCTCCAAAGAACTCATGAAAATCCGCCATAAGAGTTTTGATATTGTCCTCATCGGGGTTCTCTTTGGTTTCGTACAGGTTTAATTGAAGGGATTCAAAGCAATCCGACTCGAATCGTCTCCAACAAGCCTTCATCGTCACTGTTTACAACACGGGCGCCGCCATCTTGGTTATCCCCGGAAGTTGCATTGGCCCACTTCGGGGAATCTCCGGTGCCATCTCCACTCCCCGAAGTTGAAGCCACGATCGGTGAACTTCGGGTCTGCTCGGTACCAACCGAGACCCCTTGTTGAGAAATAACTTTCCCAAAGTTAGAAATTGCCGATCCAATAATTTTCTCCATAGAAGCACACTGTGCTCTTTGAATGGCCATCATGAAATTCATACATTGTTCCCATGAGAAAGACGGCTGTCTATCAGTTTGATGGTCCACGGCACCTGTGGCTTCAACCCTGTCACTGACCTTCGACCCCTGTGGTTGTCCAGTGCCCGAGGGACTGAAAAATGGTTCACAGTTTGACATACCTGGATCAGGTGTGGTTGGACTGATCAAAGTTCCTCTCATATTGTCCACAATGTCAAAAAAAAACTCTGTCGAGAAGTATTTTCCAAGTCAAGGCTTGGTCCCTTGTCCGACCCCCGGGGAGCCGCCATGACAGGGATGACCACGACCAGGGGCGTCTCGTCAATTTCACCACGGACACTGCGTGTCTACCTCAAAAGACTCGAGATTAATCCCCACTGGGACTACACTCGTAGTTCCCACAATTTCTTCTTCCAAAAACCTCTTTTATCTCACTGACTGACTGACTGAGTTTGGTTTTACGCCGCTTTTAGCAATATTCCAGCAACATCACGGCGGAGGACACCAGAAATGGGCTTCACACATTGTACCCATGTGGGAATTCGAACCCGGGTCTTCGGCGTGACGAACCAACGCTTTAACCATTAGGCTACCCCACCGCCCCTCTTTTATCTCAAGTGCTGAGAGATAATATAAGAGAGCGACGTAAATTCTTCTGAACTAAAACAAAAGCGCGAGCGTACGAAGCAATTGCGCAAGCGCACATCTCATGGGATTCCGAAAGTACGGAATAGGGAGGTGGAGCTAAAATGAATGGACACACTCAGGCTGACACAGCCAAGCTCTAAAACCTCAATGGGCTATAGAATCTTTTCTGTAGCAGCACCAGCTCTATGGAACAACCGTCCAGTCACCCTTAGACGAACTTAGTCCCAGTCATCTTTCAAGAACTTGCTGAAAACCTAAGTCTTCAAGATGGCATTTGAAAAGAACAGTTCACTCTTTTTACTCTTACTGTGTTTTAACGATGTATCAGCGCCGTTGAGCATCTTTGATGGGAACTAGGCGCTATACTACCAACCCACTTTTCCGTCCCGAAAGCCACAGTTCAGTATGTGAAATGATTTTTGGATGCCAATATATAGTTGATTTTCATAAAAATATTTGTCTTGCAACGGGTGCCAAATCAATAAAATATTTAGCCGTAAGCTTCTGTGCATACTATAGAAGTTCAATCCAAATTTACATATGCCGGCTGTGTACAGTGATTAGACTGACGAGGTCTCAAGGATGCCCACTCAAATGCTAGGTATGTAGGTATGTAGATAATGTTGTAAATACCCGATTTATATAAAAAGTCCATAGTATTTTTATCATACCAGATATCCGAAACATGCCTTGAATGCTACACAGGTATACAATCCTTAAATATTGGTGACTATTTTCTCATTTAAATACCCCTCTACCAATTTACATACTAGGTATACGTTATATTAACAAGTACAGGTATTTATAAGTATGCGGTATTGCATCAGCAACTTGGTGAGACAATCATTCAAAGTCTTGGTGGAATGTTTTTTGTCAATGTTAACAGATATACAACGGCTATCAGAGAGTAATGCCTTAATCAACGTCAAGATAACACCACACGTTACACGCAGCTACTGTAAGTCCCCATGAACCACCTATACAAGGTGTCCCCACTGTTTATTAATGTTCCACGAAGAACGTAATAACACGCGGTATCAGTGATACGGGAATTAATGGCCATCAGTGTCGCCTGGCAAACCTTCGTGGCGTTATCAGACATGTCTGAAAGTAATACAACTCATGCGGGCGGAATTCGTCAGAAACCGCTCCAGCTTTTTCAGTACATGGTTCAGCGCTAACCCGAAGCATTTATCGCATAATCCGGTTATTGAGCGACTACGTTACCACAGAACTCTTGGCATCGTTGGGTTAGTTCCACAATATCCGCCACCATGCAGCCTGTGACTGTGATTATGTTATGCGCTCTGTGTTATGTCAGTGCGGGTAAGTGTTCTTATTTTGTTCTGTGAAGTTATACAGAGAATTGACTCCAGAAAGCATTCTCATATGCACGTCCTGTGAGACCAAACATAACATTATAGGGCGCAAACCTAACCAGCAAATCGCCTCTTGACCTCTTAGAAGATATGTGAACAAAAGTCAGCGAGAAAAGTGTTCAGAATAACAGTTCTTGTAACATGTTGTATTCGATATATTAAACTTTCTGAATAAAGTACTTTGGAAGGGGTGAGATTCGAACCCACACTAAGGCATCGCGGCAATCAGTAATCTAACTCACTCAGCCCCTGTCCTGGGCCGCATTGTGTGTTCATAACAGTTCTTCCCTGGGAGGGACAGTGGGGTAGCCTAGTGGTTAAAGCGTTCGCTCTTCACGCCGAAGCCCAGGTGTTTCATTTCCCCCGATAGGTACAATGTGTGAGGCCCATTTCTGGTGTCAACCGTCGTGATTTTTCAGGAATATTGATAAAAGCGGCGTAAAACTAAACTCACTCAATCATTCTTCCCAGGGAACTTTGACTATCAGGGGTTATGGGCGTTACTTGCGCTTACAATAGCCAGTGATCCTTATTCATGAATGATTGTACTTGGGTTGGAGTATTTAGCTTCTTACAATGAGGGGCCGTGGTGAGCGATTGGCAAAGTCTTCCCTCGTCATCCAAGACTTAGATTCGAATCCCAAGAAACCAGTTTCTGGCCTCCATCGTCATGACATGATTATTGTTAAAAGCAGTATCAGACAGTACTCGCTACCTCACTGTTATGAATTAGTACTCGTGTCTGTCTGTCTGTCTCCCGTCTGTCTGTCTGTCTGTCTGTATGTATGTATGTATGTATGTATGTATGTATGTATGTATGTATGTATGTGTATGTATGTATGTATGTATGTATGTATGTATGTATGTATGTATGTATGTATGTATGTATGTATGTATGTATGTACGTATGTATGTCCGTCTGGCTGGTTGGTTGGTTGGCTGTCTGGCTATCTCTGTTGCTTATTTTACAGGACACACGTTTACTTTTCCCCCGGGCTTGTTTCACCGCCTACAGTCGATTGAGGACTACCCCCGAGTGGCAAGATTTCCTCCAGTTCGGAGGGCGTTCGCGGCGTTTTTGAAGGACTGGCGTTCAAGACATGAAGAGTGCGGTCGGCAAGCTATCAAACCTTACATGCCTCTCTTCAGGGTCGTTGGTGGCCTTGACGCGAGGCCAGGCAGTTGGCCGTGGATGGTATGTACCACCAGAGTGAGTGAGTGGGTGGGTGGGTGGGTGAGTGAGCATTCAACGTATTCTCCAGACATGCCATACTCGATTACACGTGCTATCATATAAGAAGTCGAAATGTCGATGCAATAAATATCTGAACTCACTTCTTATTCCAGATATCCCTGAAGCAAAACAAGCTTGGACAGATTTGGTGTGGGGCCAGCCTGATTGACAGACACTGGGCGGTCACAGCTGCTCATTGTTTTACAGGGTATGCCGTCCGACTGTCGTTGTGAATGAAACACAAGTGTACATGACGATTCTAAATTCTTATGTAAAGCAAACTGATGTAATGGTATTTTTGTATCTGTTTTAATACTAGGTAAAAGTGAAATCAACAATAAATGTTTTTTTCGATGGTGATATATATTAATCGGATGTCATAGTGAACTGGAGCTTAAACTTACAGCTTAAAATTAGGCTATGGACACCAAAAATGGGCTTGCTACGTTGTACCCATGTGGGGAATCGAACCCGGGTCTTGGGCGTTTTAACAACTGGGTTACCCCACCGTCCCACTAAGCAACTGTCATGCCCAAACAACAATTGTACGTGCGTGTGACCCTCCCCTTATTCAACCCCTGCCCAGCCACAATGTTATATAACATGTCTCTCAATATTTTGATGCGGGGCCCTAAGAGATTGTTTTTCTAACTTAACATTTCAGAGTAGTATTGTCCGTCATGTTGCGTATGTTTAGAACACCAATTCTGACAACAATATTCCTAGTATACTTTACAAGAAATAAATGCTGAGGAACACGAGTTTCAAAGTCAAACATTTCAAAACGACTGAATGGAAGTCGTTTTTTTATCTGTATAACCATCCCTGATACCTGAGATGGTGAGGATGGCGTCGTATTTGGCTGTGTAGAATTACCTCCCTTAGACGAGACATGATCCAATGAACGTGAGCTCGCATCCCCGATTATACCCTTGCTTCAACAGCACCATCGTGTTTTTGAAGAACAATGAGTTGGCACTCAATGAGCTGTATCACATAAGGCTTAACATGCACATTAACAAGCCAAACTGACAGCCGTGTTACACTCCTATACTTACACGCTTGTATGTGTACAGGCCGTTCTCCGACCCCGAGGAGTGGACGGTCCAGCTAGGGCGGTACAACACTACCCCCAAAACTGAGGAGATGACGGGGGTAGAGAGGCGGATCGGGAGACTTTACAAGCACCCAAGATTCGGAGAAGAGTCCCTCAACAACGACATCGCCCTTATAAAACTGGACGCAGCTGTGGACTTCAATGACGTCATCAGTCCTCTTTGTCTGCCAGATGCCAACGTGGATGCCGACGTTGAGATCAAGTCTGGGACGGAGTGCCTTGTCACAGGATGGGGAGTCACAAGCAAAGAAGGTAGATGCAGCAACAGTGGTGTTGTTGCAGTAGTCGTAGTCGTAGTCGCAGTGGTACTAGCAGTAGTGGCAGCAGCAACGTATAGTAGTAGGAGGAGGAGGGGGAGCAGCAGCAGCCGTAATATTATAGTTATTCATCAACAGTCAGCAAGACTGACCACCAATGGGTCCAAAGAAAACGGTGTCTCCCTAGAACCATTCGTCAGATTGCAGTTTCATGCTGCCTACCGTAGTTGAACAATGTCTTTAGAGACTCCTCTCCAAGTCTCAACTAGCGCTATATAAATAGTTTTCTGTAACATGTGTCAGCAATTTGTCGTTTGTCCATATTGAGTTAGGCCACTCGAACAGTTTTGACTCTTGTCACTTTCCTACTAACATAGCACTGATCTCCCAACGTAACATATTATATCAATGCGTGGATCCCTAAACATCCAATGTTTAGTTAATGTTTGGGGGAAATGAGAATAGGGGCCGTAGTTCTAAACTTTCTCAGAATTTAAGGTTAAACATTAGAGTAGAAAATATTGATAAATGTGTGTTACCATTTTCTTAAGACCTAATTATAAAGCCTGATTAGTTTTAAGACTACTCTCAGCGTCCTCGCAAATAGTATTCTTACGAAAATTCTGAGACGTTTTATTAACACGGCCCCGGTGTTTTCGACGACGGAATTTAAGAATGTAATTTATGATATAGACTTTAGGGAGCGTGTAAGTTTTGGGACAGTAAATATCCTCAATCAGGAATAATATCTGTGGATTTAACGAGTTCTGTCGACGGTTTATTTCTGATAAAGGATATTTACTGTCATATTAAAACACATTCAGTGATTCGCGTGATAACCTCTATTAGGTGTCCATAATAGTGTGATTGTGTGCATCTGTGCAGGACCACCCGGTGAGAACGTGCCCCACGTACTGCAGCAAGGTCTGGTACCACTCATCTCTGCACGAGACTGCCGAAATTTCCCCGGGTTCGCTCGTTCCGTCACTCGTGATATGATGTGTGCAGGCTACACTGAAGGAGGTGTTGACACGTGCTTTGTGAGTCCAATTCTTACTTCACATTTTCCTGCATTCATGTTTGATAATTAAGATATAGATCTATATTGTAATAAACTGGTTCTTATTTCACAAAAGGGATCACGTGATTACCTTGATTACCTATATGCAACAAAATGGAAAAATATCTGTTGACTTCCATTTGACGGCACAAACGCTTCCATCGACTGAAATCATAATGTCGATTTTGTCATGCGATTTTGAAAGAGCCACTCATAAACTCGTTTATCCAGCCACAGTGTAACTCGGAAATCCCGCTAGTGTTCAGCAAGAGTGCAAACTGAACTTCCTCAGTCGGTTAGCTCCCTTGCTTCTGGGAGATGTCAATGCAGGGGCGACCCTTGAGTCTCCATAAGAGCGGCACGAGTCCGTGGTTACTGTTAAATAAGTCAACATTTACTAGAAACAGGGAATTCCCTTCCTATGATGAGTAAACAGAAGCGACAAAATATTGACATCGTCATGTTCCCAAGTATATAAATAAATAAATATGTGAAACAAGTGAAATGGCTGATACTTTAAAAATTAAGAGAATTATAAATACAAATGTATTCGCGTCCAAAGATTTTCACACAGTTTTCACAATATTATTGGTTAAAGACATGTTCCTGTTCAATAATACTTATTTTAAATAACATGCGCAAGTGTTCTGACGCAATTTACGAAAAAAGGCCTGTTATTTTTAGAAATAGCTTCTGGGTGAAGTTGAACTGGTCTTCAGTAACCAATGCTTCTCGTAAGAGGCGACTAACGGGATCGGGTGGTCAGGCTCGCTGACTTGGTTGACACATGTGATCGTATCCCAATTGCGCAGATCGATGTTCATGTTGTTGATCACTGGATTGCCTGGTCCAGACTCGAGTATTTACAGACCGCCGCCATATAGCGGGAGTAAGGCGTGAAACAACACTCACTCACTGATGCAGATATGCATCGCGCTCCTTATGTCTGAAGAACATAAATGGGTTAAACAACAAACAATCAACCATCCACATGAAAACATTTGATAACGTTCAGAAAAGTTCCGAAAGATTTCATCATTCCTGAAATGATGCAGATCTAAGATACATTGGTCCCATCGTTACCATTGTGTAGAGAACAAAACTGTCGTACGTTCAGTGGTTTACTGTAAATATGTTTGTGTTTTCAGGGTGACAGCGGCGGCCCCCTTCAGTGCCAGGTGGGATATAACTGGTACCTAGCAGGTAAACAGTGGAGGAATATAGCGACGAAATATAGTGATGATAAAATACTCATACCTAATAATACAGTAGAACAACGCTAATCGAGTACGCTTTTATCCAGCTTTCAGCAATAATCTAGCAAACGTACGGTGGGGCTAATAGAAATGGGTTTCACTGTATCCATGTCGAGAATGGGGGTTCGATGTGACGAGCGAACGCGTTACCCCACTTTTCCGACTTGAGACATCAGCATGGATAAATGGGGTGTCACGGAGCGTATTAGATAGCCCCGTGCTTTTGTGGGTTTCACAGTGCTGAAACACTGAGATACCACCCCGCAGTGTTACATGGATGTTCAGACACACTATACTGACTCCGAGCCGACCACTTTGTCGTCTTTGTGTTATCGATTTAATGCCGACCGTCGGGCAGAGTGACAGAGAGAGCCATTTTTTAACTTCTTTTGGTATCAAACTACCGTCCGGGCAGACGGTGGACCATCAGCTGGACCATGTAGATAGTGTGTTAATAGAGATTTAAATCTCATTTTGTTATCTTCCATCAAGATGACAATGCAGTTCTACGAAATGGTGTCCCACAATGCATCGATGTCAACATGAAATCAGAGGTTCCAGAGGATCTCGCATATACAGACATCAATGAAGCAGTAAATTTATTTACCAGTGTATTCCAGGAAGCAGCAGCGCATACCAGGACTGTGTATCACAACAGACATAACATGAGTTCTAGTGATAAATCTCAACCTCCATGGTGGGATGAAGAGTTGGAACAATTAAAACATGATAAATATTCTGCACTTAGAGCTCATAGAGATAATAATCAAGATCTGGATATATTTAGACAACTTCGTAATCTGTTCAAGAAGACATTCAGTATCAAGAGAGATAATTACATGTATACACAGAGACAGAAACTTGTTGAAGCCAGCAATGATCCTAAGCAGTTTAGGGAATTACTCAAACAGTTTAAAATGTCTAGTAATATATCTGCCTCTATTTCTTGTCAACAGTGGCTAAATCACTTTTTATCCTTACTTTGTGTCAATAAAACAGATGTTCTAAATGATGTTGAGTCTCATTCCAATTGTGATAGGCCATTACTTAATGCAGCAATCACTCAACAAGAAGTTTTGTTTCATGTTATGAATATTTCTACTAATAAGTCACCAGGACCAGATGGTGTAGCTGGAGAATTTCTTAAAGCTTCTAGTACTTATATTGTACCCTTTCTTACTTCCATTTTTAATGAAATATTTGACAGTGGCAATTTCCCTAAAAGCCGGAGTAAGAGTATAATATGTCCTTTATTTAAATCTGGCCGTAAAGATGACCCTAATAATCCCTCATTATCCCTCATTATCAGGCATATCCCTCACTGACTCTGTTTGTAAAATATTTACTTCTATTTTGAATAAACGCCTTCAGAAATGGTGTGATATTAATGAAATTATTAGTGAGTCCCAAGCAGGCTTTAGAGCTAATTATTCTACAACTGATCATATATTTTCCCTCCAGGCTTTAATTCAGAAATATTCTTGTAAAAAGTAGGGTAGGTTTTATTGTCTTTTTATTGATTTTTCCAAAGCCTTTGACACCATTAAGCATGATGTTTTACTTCAGTCCCTCTCTGAAGTTGGTATATGTGGTAAAATCTTTAATGTTGTAAAAACAATGTATCAGAATTTATCAGCTTGTGTTAGAACAGCAAACGGTTTGTCTAAATATTTTTCTTGCAATATTGGTACCCGTCAGGGATGTGTTTTAAGCCCTCAACTATTTATTATCTTCATTAACAAGTTATGTACTTTAATGGAATTGGAGGGTGGTTCAGGTGTAACTGTTTCATCAGATTTTAATAATGTATGTTCACTTATGTTTGCTGATGATGTCTCGGCACTGTCTGATACATGCAACCAATTACAGAAAAAGATTAATGTTCTTGAGAAATTTTGTAAACTCACTGGTATGTCAGTAAATCTTAAAAAGACTAAGATTCTTGTTTTTAGAAATGGTGGCCCTCTAAGAGATAATGCAAAATGATATTACAATGGTAAACAAATTGAATGTGTATCCTTTTATAAATATTTAGGACTTGTATTTACACCAAAACTTGTCTGGAGTAAAGCACAGACATGTCTTGTTTCTCAGGCCAATAAGGCATTATTTTCTGTAAATAACTTCCAAAGAAAAGTGGGTAGTGTCAATTGTAAAGATTTGTTTAAAATATTTGATTGTATGATCTCACCTATATTATGTTATGGAGCTGAAGTTTGGGGCACCAGTTATTGTAAACTCATAGAGTCTGTACAAATTAAATTTTGTAAGTATTTCTTAAAAGTTGGTAAATCAACTTGTAATAATGTGGTACTTGGAGAATGTGGTAGACTCCCTTTACAAATTGTATATATGACTAAGGTTATCAAATATTGGTGTCATTTATTGTACTTACCCCCAAACAGACTCCCAAAACACTGTTACAAAATGCTGAAATCATTAGATGATGTTGGACGTGTAACTTGGGTAACTAATGTTTAACATATTTTTTTACTTATGGTTTTGGCTATGAATGGGTCAGTCAGGATATTGGTAATGTCAAGTATTTTATGTTTCTTTTTAAACAAAGACTGACCGATAATTTAAAGCAATCCTGGTATTCTTCCATTGAAAATTCACATAATACTGTTTATTATTGTCAGTATAAGACTCTGTTAGATGTAGAAAAAAACTTAAATTGTAATATTTATTTAAATTTGAGATCTGCCCTTTCAAAATTTAGATGCGGAAACTTTAATCAAGCAATAGAGACTGGGAGATATGAAAATATTGCTTCGAATGAAAGATTTTGTTTATTTTGTAAATCCAAAGGTATTAATGTTGTTGAAGATGAGTGGCATATTTTGTATATTTGTGAATGTTCTCTGATATTCGAGGGAAATATATTGGGAAATATTTAAGTAAGCCGCCGACGATAAACAACTTTATCCATATTATGCAATCTGCTAATGTCGATGTGATTAAGAATGTTTCTTTATTCTTATATAATGTACAAATTAGAATTAAGAGCAGAACATTTTTATAAATCATTGTGTACCATTCATGTGATGTGTGATCACGCATTTGACTGTATTATGGGCCAGTGGCCTTTTACTGAATAAAACTGTCTGTCTGTCTGTCTGAAATCAGAGGTTCGAGATTAAGAATGAATTCTCTGTTCATGTTGGTAGTGGTCCCCTATGATGCTTCACTGTGTTATGACATTCATGCTTTGCCCTCGATCATAGTTTCCTTCACTATAGTCTTGTGTCTCCGTCCACAGGTATCACTAGCCATGGTATCAATAAAACCTGTGCCGAACCCGAGAAACCCGGTATCTACACCAACGTCCTGAGATACACAGACTGGATATACTGGCACATGTTCCTGGACCCCTTCTTCTAGACGACACCTGGACCCCTACTTCTACTTGACACCTGGATTCTACCTGACACCTAGACCCCTACTTCTACATGACACCTGGATTCTAGCTGACACGTGGACCCCTACTTCTACCTGAAACCTGAATCCCTACTTCTACCTGACACCTGAACCCCTACTTCTACCTGACACCTGAACCCCTACTTCTACCTGACACCTGAACCCCTACTTCTAGACGACACCTGAATCCCTACTTCTAGACGACATCTGAAGCCCTACTTCTAGACGACATCTGAAGCCCTATTTCTTGACGACACCTGAACCCCTACTTCTACCTGACACCTGAACCCCTACTTCTAGGCGACACCTGAACCCATACTTCTAGACGAAACCTGAACCCCTACTTCCACTTGACACCTGGACCCCTACTTCTACCTGACACCTGAACCCCTACTTCTAGACGACATCTGAAGCCCTACTTCTAGACGACACCTGGACCCATACTTATAGACGACACCTGAACCCGTACTTCTAGGCGACACCTGGACCCCTATTTATAGACGACACCTGAACCCCTACTTCTAGGCGACACCTGAACCCCTACTTCTAGGCGACACCTGAACCCATACTTATAGACGACACCTGAACCCCTACTTCTAGACGACACCTGAACCCATACTTATAGACGACACCTGGATTCTACCTGACACCTGAACCCCTTAACCCCTGAATTTTTTTTGTAGATTTTGCCCATAAACACAGCGCGTCATGAATCAGAGGATGAGTAGTTAATATCCAATCAGTATATCAACATCATATAATGCACCAATACGGCTGTGACAGTCGGGGTGCACAAATCGCCGGTTATTACTGTAACTGAATACTCTTCTGTTTCTAGATACCTTTATATATACATGTGCATGTATTAGTGTTTAACAAGTTGCCAAACAACGCCTTGCTTTAATAAACCACTGTATGTTGAACCCTCTCTTGGGTTTGTCGCTGCATGTATTGACCTTGTAGCATGATATGTTTTGCTGACGATATATATCTGTGTGTGATGGAAACCCAGGGAGTACATTGTCGCTTTGTAGCTTGTCGCCCTTACCACAGACGCTTGTAACGCCAAAACACTAGCACCAAGCACCTTTGCACCTTTTCAGTGCGGGCCAAGGCCAAGATCGTCAAAGGCAAATGGGTACGGTACATACTTGACTGACATCATTGTCAGTAAACTCATTGTGGCTGCTAGGTTTTTGTGTCTTTCAAGAAATTACAGTGAGCCCACTGACAAATGCCACCGAATCAGCGAAACTAGGAATTCAGCCAGTTAACGGTACAAATTCTGAGCAGGGATTTTGGTTCTGAATCGCAAAGTAATGACATTTAGAAATTTCCGAAGAGGCTTGCTCCCAAAGTGCGGCTTTGATTTGTGTCATCTTTATCTCATTTTGTCATCAAGTCTATTGGCTTGAAATGCGTGTGTAGTTGTATAGGGGTGTGTAGTTGTATAGGGGTGTGTAGTTGTATAGGGGTGTATACAGTGAGCGTTGTTGAATTCGTCCTACAACGTACTTGGTGTGTTCACCTTGTTACAATCCTTTACTTTCATACAGTGCTACCTTGGTGTACTGGCGCTAAAAGCCCCTGTGAATGAGCAGTTCTAAGTGGGAGATACTAACGTCGATTCCACACCATGCCACAGCCACCCAAAGCCTCCAGTCTGACGTTGAAGCTGGAGAGTTAGATAAAGCCAGAGGCAATCTTTGTTTTGATTGGCGGTCAAAATGGACATGCCATATCCCCCAATATAGATTCTACTTGTAAAGGAAAAAACGATCTCATACAAACACACGCACACGCAAATTCCCTACGTCATATTTCCCCAAGTTTCACTCTTCTAATCTCTGATAAACAAGTGTGCGTGTTCTAACAAAACACTGTTTAAAAACAGATTACAGTACATAAATAGGTTGAAGAGAGCACGAGTAAATATAACTCCTTGCTGTCAAGTTTTGTAACTATGCCACCTACATTGCGACATGATAACGCCATTATCTGCCATACATTCTGTGCCTGACCAGCCCGTGATGGACAAACACAGGAAAACAAGCATGGTGTTTACTGTATGGCCTCTTCTTAGACGCAATCAGAATATATCCAATTACGTTTGTTTTTAAATCTATATAATTGTCAGCAATATGTGTTTTCAATCAACTTACTTGCACACGTTAACCGGAGGATATGCTCAAGACGAGATTGTTTAGTTTGTTTAACGCCACAAGCAACATTATTCCAGCTTTATGACATCGGTCTGTAAATACTCGTGTCCGCACCAGACAATCCAGTGACTGGCATTATGAACATCGATCTACGTAACTGGCATATGCACAAACCAAAACAGCAGCCTGACCTACTGAGACCCTATTCACAAAATGTTCGCAGCACTATGTCATTCGAAAGATTGTGAGTGAGTGAGCATGGTTTTACGCCGCTTTTAGCAATATTCCAGCAATATCAGGGTGGGGGTCACCAGATATGGGCTTCACACATTGTAGCCATGTGGGGGATCGAACCCGCGTCTTCGGCGTGACGAGCGAACGATTTAACCACTAGGCTACCCAACCGCCCCCGTAAGCCTGTAGTTGAGTATTGAGTTACGATAGGTCGTAACGTTACGACCGCTTTGTGGATCGGGACCCTGATGTCATTGTTCGCCTCTTTCAACATCAGGGGGTGCTGAAGAGCAATCATTGTAAACCGGATCTTAGCAAACAAGAAAATATCACGAAATACATAGCCGATTTCAAAAGTGATATCACAGAGGATCATTTAGTGATAGTTTCCTGAAATGTTTATCGGACTTACGGGTAAAATCTGAAAAGCCCGTGGGACCTACGGGTAACTGAATTGAAAATATACGCATTTGTATTTTTTCAAAACGATTACGTATAACATGTCACATTTGGCCAACCAGGTTCTGGTTATTCCCAGTATATTGTTAGTTGTTTAGTCTAAGTTTAACTTAACCCTGAAATGCATGACATTTATAAAAAACGTTTCTCTCGAAATTGAATGAAAACTAGTTTTTATAAAGCATTTCTGTGTTGAGCAAGTGTTACGATATGTTTCGGTTTTTGTTTTATTTAAACCCTGAAACGCTAAATATGGGAAGTACTTTAACACTTTAATGTAAAGGAAACAGTGCCTACGTGCTTGTTCATCGGCTTGACCTACTTCCGTGAAGTAGGCTACTGCGTTAATGTACTGTGAAAAGACATCAGGGAGATGATTGCTCAATAGTCAAAACAATGGCGTAAGAGGACAGAACTGAAGCCATTTTGTTTCAAACATGCATGTGTTCATCAAACATTTTCAAGGAAAATATTGCACATCTAATCTAATGAAAGTTTTCTTGCTTTCTACTGTCGTAATGGTTACTTGTTTAATCCTTTTAGCTTCAACATATAATTGTTGACAAGTGTGGATAGCAATGAAATAATAATACGTAATATCGTACACATATCTAGATTCCCTCTCTTAAGGACCAGAAAAAATGCAAATCAAATGTGCTCTGTGCAAACTTTGACCAATCTAATTGAAAGATTCTTGGGTTCCTTAGCCACTCAGATGCCAGCTTACTACCATTCGTATTGGCTCCCAAAACACCTGATGTAATCCGTGGTTTTCAATTATCCATACATATTGTTTCAGTCGGATAGTCGAGAAATGAGTGAGTGAGTATGGTTTTACGCCGCTTTTAGCAATATTCCAGCAATATCACACATTGTAACCATGTGGAGAATCGAACCCGGGTCTGAAAGTTCTTTGAGTTTTTATCTGAGTTCATGATAACCGCCAAAGCACACATATATACTTCATCTGAATGTATACACAGTGGGACAATTTCTTTATTGACATTAACAATCCCCGATCATATACCTTCTCAAGGTACAGAAAATAGCATGTCTGAAGTTGTCTATCACTCGCACCGAGAATGTACACGCCAAGATGATGATTGGCTGACGTGAAAGTTCATCTGACCTGACCTTCCATAGACATGTCCTGTAATCTGAGGCCACACACTCAATCGTTACCTGGTATTTGTTATGAAGCATAGCTATTTTTATCCGTTACAACTGATAAACGAAATATTTTGTTAAAAATCTTTGGACCTACATATTTTTGTCACGTAAAAGCTAGCAACACGGCACGGAGCGTGCTGCTGACGGCGTATTCATGGCAACTCTGTGATTCGAACCTACAGTTATGGGTACCTGGTATGCCTAAGGGAGGCAAATCTGCATAGCAAATTTGAGCGCTTCAGACGACTGAGCCATTCATAATTTCTAAAATAACAGAAATGTCACTATTTGGTCAATCAAAGTAATATTAAATCGAAGATTATTACGAGTTAAATTTAATTAGACATATTGCGAATGAGCACACTTCTTATCAACAAGATGAGCCAATTCAAGCTGACAGCTCTCAGTAGATATCACCCTTCCCTGCGAATTCACCGTACTGGATAAAACTGAATGCCTTCCTAACCATGCAACAACCATGCTCATCTATCACAAAGCTACCCCTACCACAGGCCCTACACAAGAAAATATTACGGGTGTGGTCAGTCATTAAATCAAGATAACCCGAAACTATGACCCGTTGAAACAATTGCCGCGCTTTCACAATCCCACCTACACACTTTGATAAACTCAATCCACATATGCCTAGTTTCTGACATACCTCAAGTCTGGAGCAATCTGACCAAGTTGGATATCCTTGACACCGAAAAGTCAAGAAGATCCTGAACCACGCTGTTGTGTCGTCACTACTGAAAGAAAATATTGTTAATCGCCATATCACTATGGAAGGAAATAAGCACTTGCTACCATGTGAACGTGAGTCGTAGATCACGTGGATTTTCACACACAGGAACGATGTGGAGCGCCCCGTTCCTCATTACCTTGGTAACATTAGGTAGGTATAAGTGTCTTTATTACCAGACACCTGGCAGTATCCAGATATACTGAGGTGCTTCTTTATATGAATTTGTTTACTACATATAAAGGTCTTTCTGAACATTCTGACTTTTACCCTCACGTACCTTGGATTTTATCATCAGAGGTAACATTTCAACCAGCCTAAATCAAGTGACTTTAGCTTATTGGGTGCAGATTATTAGGGTGTAGATTGTTTCTAGGTTCGTCAGAGCTACACCCTTCCTGGCAACCGATCCTGGTCTAAAGACCATCATGCTTAGGTGTCAGAATCGGTGATTAGCTGGTTGTTCATCATCGTATTCTTGTGGCAACATCGTTGTTCATGATATGATATGAATCACTGGCGTTGTGCATCTAGAATGTGGTCAAGTGTAACAGACCTGTGCGCCGTTATACATAGCGACCTCAGTGCGAAGAAGATCATAAATCCCATACTTAACAAAGACTTAAAGCGCTAAGGTTTTTTTTCGTGATGCGAGTCTAACTGATTTGTTTTGAAATTACCACTGAACGCTTTAAAAACTGAATAATTATTCACATAGATGACCAGAGATAGATGTACCATGTCTGTGTATCCGTGGCGACCATTGGAAAGTATTCTTGTATTCGTTCGGCGTTTACGTATATGTTGATACCTTTATAAAGCAAATTCATAACGTCAATGCCAGAGCATGAAGCAGCGTTTCAACTAATGTATAACGACAAGTTCCTAAAATCTTTCAGGTTTACCATTTTTAATATTATCCGATCAGTGATTGCTCATCGCACCCGAGAGGCCTGGGTTCGATTTGACCCGACATATCTCCATTGTAAGCAGTCGCTATTTGGTACAGCGAGAATATGCTGAAATATTGTTAAATATACCGGTATTTCCGCCATCAACTTATCTGGCAGTTGGGTAGATTAGTGATTTAAGAGTTCGCTTGTCACAACGAAGAACCGGGGTCGATTTTCTATAGTGGTACAGTGTGTCCTTTTCTGGTGTCCCCTGGCGGTGTAAAACTATACTGATTCACTCCAACTTGTCTTTTAACTGTTATGGCATTGACTGAACGTCGTATCATCACTTCTTTCAACAGTGACAACGTCGGCGGAATCCAACGTCACTTGCGGTGTTCCGAAGGTGGTTCCTGCAACGTCGCGTGTCGTGAACGGTCAGGAAGCCAGGCATGGGGCATGGCCATGGATGGTATAAAGATCGTTTTTCTGTATATCTTCACTACCTGATACAGTATACTTATACTATATTTATCACATGCCAAACCGTTGAACTCGTGTAGTTTCTATCAAATCGTATAATAAACACATCCTATTAAGCTGGAAACCAATTTGACCAGAACATGTACGTGCTGTGGCTGGTCTCGGCCAAGGTAGTTACATAATTTAACAGGTTGTCTTCATGAGTACATACTAGTCAATAAAAGGAAACTAATAATTTCTATACTGATACTTAATTTTAGCCTAAAATAATTGGCCATTGATTGTAATGATTGTCAACTGAGTGTGTGCAAAACATGATCGAGCTATGAACAAGGTTGCACACGGACAGTGCGTTTTGAGACAGATGGCATGACCTAAGGGATACGGAGGAGTGTCAATAGTCACGTTACCCACATTCTTGACTTCCAGGTCCTACTCCAGGAAATGACCGTGCCTGTATGTGGCGGCGCCATTTTGAACAACCGTCTCATACTGACGGCAGCGCACTGTTTTGACGAGTAAGTACCTATGCTCCTGTGTCAGTTCACACTGAAATAATCCCAAAGCTTGGCCAACTCCTGTCGTCAATGTCAAGGCTACGACGTGAAATGGCGTTTAACGTCATACAAGCACTGTGTATCATTCTGCTAGCGCTCGTCTGCTATAATTCTGGTTATACAATGTCAGCCCACTGAGATACCACGCCACAGTGTAACATGGATACCCAACTCAGACACAGTATGATCATGATGACTTAGAGCAGTCCTTGTTTTATCCCACAAAATACCGAACGCCATTCAGGGTGACAACAAGTTCAATATTATAACGTCATGACGAAGCCGGAATCCAACCACCGACCTTCCGCTCTCCGAGCAGTCTCTCTGTCTTCAACACTTTGAACACAGTAGATCGCATGTCAATGCAAATGGGACGTAACGCAAGGGTCGCTTTGCACAAGTGCTGTTCGGTTTAAGTTTCCAATCAACAATCAGGTATCTTGACCTTTTCAGGGTGAAGGAGCCAGAGCAGAGATTAACCCCGCACTCAGCAATACATGCTACAAGACGGTGGACTGTCAATTTAAACCCGACAAACGAGTGACTGCTATTCGCTATTGGGTTCGATACGCGTTCAACAACGTTACCAAATCCGATCCATTTGGTCGTTTCTTACTATGTGCTTACAATGCTGGGGAACCATCCAAACCCCGACAGGGCGAGTATAAGGAGCTTTATAAACAAGGGCAAGGTCATGTTATGTGCTGGTTAATTCGGAATTCTTTTGTATCAGTAAAATATAACGCTAGCAAATGAATGTTTACTGAGGCATGAATATTAAAGTAGGTCTGCTCGCGAATGAATCATTCTGTTCTTAGAATGTTATCAAACTAATGAGATATATCATCTTTCCAGAGCCAGAAGCCGAAACGTTGCGCGATGGAGGGCGACAGGTGGCAAGCACAACGCTGACAGGTATGATGTCACGCAACGCACGTACCACTTGAAAAAGCTCGTGATTCACGAAAATTACGACAGCCACACCGTCCTAAACGACATAGCCCTTCTCCTGCTTCATGAGACGATCGACTACACCGACTACATCCGGCCTGTGTGCCTACCATCTTCCTCCGAGCGTCTCTACGTTGGCCAGCACTGCTACTTAGCGGGATGGGGAGACACTCTAGGTAGGACATGCGACCTATGTGAGGGAATGCCCGTGCCGATCCCGGTCTTCAGGATCATCTGCATGTTGTAAGAGGCGGCTCTTACTATTCCATACTATTTGGAAGTTGATGCAGATATGACCTGTAAAGATCCGGGTTGGAATTGATCTTCAGTAGCCCATGCTTGTCGTAAGAGGCGACTAACGGGATCGAGTGGTCAGGCTCGCTGTCTTGGTTGACACATGTCATCGTATCCCAATTGCATAGATCGATGCTCATGCTGTTGATCACTGGATTGTCTGGTCCAGATTCGATTATCTACAGACCGCCGCCATATAGCTGGAATATTGCTGAGTGCGACGTAAAACAAAACTCACTCACTCCTGCACATCTTACAAAGTCATGGCGATGTGGTTGTCGGATGAAAAGAAACGGCGATAACGTGGACGTCCAAACTGACCGGTGAAGTGGCGTTTATAATCGACGTCCAAACTAACCGGTGAGGTGGTAGTTACGTCGACGTGCAAACTAACCAGTGAAACGGCGTTTAAAATCGACGTCCAAAATGACAGGTGAACTGGCGTTTACATCGACGTCCAAACTAACCTGTGAGATGGTATTTACATCGACGTCCAAACTAACCATGGAAGTGGTATTTACACTGACGTCCAAACTAACCATGGAAGTGGTATTTACACTACCGTCCAAACTAAACGGTGAAGTGGCGTTTACATCGACATCCAAACGTCCAACACTACCTTCAGCCCGAGATGACGTTTACAGAGCACATGTGATGACACAATGTTGCTGAATTTGTTACCTCGACGTCAATATATTGTCCTGTTCCGTAATCGTTCCTGTTTGCGTTTATTTATTGTTTATCATTATAAACAGTTGCAAATTAGATATGCCGGTCTTGCGTTAAGCAATATTTACTCACTCACTCATTCTAGGAAAATGGGTACCACAAGAATTAAAATGTGCATAGGTGTGCTTATCATATACACATATACGACACAATTAATCACGTAGGTATTAATTACGGAGGTATAAATAGTAACCTGATCTGTCCTAGGGACCGGCAACGACAACGTCCTGAACCAAGCGCTTCTCCCCGTGATCAGCGACAACGTGTGCAGCAGGCCTGATTGGTACGGTTCCGAGTTCACGCCCGGTACAATGCTGTGTGCCGGCTACTCGGTGGGGAAGAAGGATGCATGCAGTGTAAGTATTTCATCCTCATCCCCATCTCATCCTCATACTCATCCTTATCCAACAACACAGTTGGTCAGCAGAATTGTACGCCGCTCTGAACAATACTCAGGCTGTTTGGAACCTGTCATAGCCCTTAAACTTAACCCCTGATGCAGTATTGAGAATATACAATAACAGTGGATAAAATATCTTTACATAGAATTGCCAAGGTCTAATTGGTGAAACGACTAGGTGTCGCCAATATTTCTTCAGTGTAATTAAACTATTTCGAAACATCGAACATGTCATGGTGAAGGACTTACATCATATGCATTCGGTTTGTTACCTGACGGTCCCAGGTAAATATGAATTATAATGTTTTGAATTGCTGTTTGTCCGTTTGTTTGTTTGTTTGTTTGTTTGTTTGTTTGTTTGTTTGAGGACAAATATACATGTCATTTATAGAAAACTTGGAGACTGCTCTATCAAGCTGTTTATTCAAAACAAAATTCATTCGCAGGGAGACAGTGGTTCGCCTCTGGTCTGCAAACACGGGGACATATGGTACGCTCAGGGTAAGAAGCTTCCCTCTGGTTTAAATTTTCCAGATTTTGACCTGTCAAGCCATTGAAGCACCCCGTTTTAGTTTTCTACCCTCAAACCAACCGTAAACACTTGAGTCATAACAACCAATAATAATGTGCATGAGCCTCTGTTTGGCGTAGCTCCAAAGGCCAGTATTACGGCTATCGGAAGTATAAACCTCTGTTTAGTGTTGCTCCATCAGACTAGTATTTGGGATACCGGAAGTATCACCTCCTGTTTAGTGCTGCTCCTTCAGCCCTTGTTTAGTGTTGCTCCAAAGGCCAGTATTACGGCTACCAGAAGTATTAACCCCTGTTTAGAGCTGCCCCAAAGGTCAGTATTGAGGCTACCAGAACTTTTACCCTCTGTTTAGTGTTGCACCATCAGACCAGTATTACGGCTACCGGAAGTATCACCCCCAGTTTAGTGTTGCTCCAAAGGCCAGTATTACGGCTACCGGAAGTGTTAGTTCCTGTTTAGTGTTGCTCCATCAGACCAGTATTACGGTTACCAGAAGTATCACCCCCAGTTTAGTGTTGCTCCATCAGACCAGTATTACGGCTACCAGAAGTATCACCCCCAGTTTAGGGTTGCTCCATCAGACCAGTATTACGGCTACCGGAAGTATCACCCTCTGTTTAGTGTTGCTCCATCAGACCAGTATTACGGTTACAGGAAGTATCAGTCCCTGTTTAGTGCTGCTCCAGGCCAGAATTACGGCTGCCGGAAGTATCACCCCCAGTTTAGTGTTGCTCCATCAGACCAGTATTACGGCTACCGGATATATCACCCCGTTTGGTGTTGCAGGTATAGCAAGCTGGGGTTACGGCTGCGCAGAACCCAAGTGGCCGGGGCTCTACACGGAGGTGTCCAAGTATGTACACTGGATACAAGCCAAGGCTACAGAACTGGGCTACCCAATACAATTATAAGTAAAAAATCATCTTTCTTTCATTACTTAATGAAGCGAACTTGAACATAACACATACTTACTGGCTTCACAAATCACTGATTTCAAATCTTCCATGTACAATTTACTTTACACACCCTATTGAAATGTCTTTTTCAAGTGTATATAGCACCATGCATTGTTGATCATTTGTCTACCTAATAAATTTCGTCAAGGCTTTTTTAGCCTTTTCCAGTGTCTTTTATCAGTTTTCAGTTTTCTGACAAGAGGTTGGATATTGTATCGGTTTTCTTCTCCATGTGCGTACAAGTAATGTTCTGAAACCAACGGTTCTAATCAGGACTACAGCTGTTTGTGAGTGACTGAATGTAGTTGTATTTTCGACAATATCCCAGTCACATTTTTTGTCGATTGTTGATTAACGTTCGGAGTTTTCAGATATTTACAGGTTAACAAGTGGCACAAAATGGCATTTAATAAACTGTAAAGTTTATGTCATAATATTCAGTCAGTCTATCCGGTTACACAGTTTTTAAGGTTTGGGTGCGTGCATGATGTTTACTTTACGTAACGTAACGTAACGTGGAATATAGGCGGTGCTTAACCCGCAACACTTACATACATGGCGTATATCATTCTATAATGTTTTGGACAGAGTAGAACATTGACTTTAAGGGTGCTTGTACTGAACTCAACATTATACAAACTGAATTTATCAACAACGCCTTCCAACCAGCACGCTGAAGTAACATGAGTAATGCGGTTCTAATCTTGAGTCAAATCGAAGCGACAAAACCTTTCCCACGTCCATAAGAAATCACTGCTAAAAGCAGAGTCGATTGTAACATTTTGCACCGGGTTAGAATTGATCTTTAGAAACCCATGCTTGTCGTAAGAGGGATCGGGTGGTCAGGCTGACTTGGTTGACACATGTCATCGTATCCCATTTGCGTATATCGATGTTCAAGCTGCTGATCACTGGATTGTCTGGTTCAATGTCTGGACTCGATTATTTACATATAGCTGGAATACTGCTGAGTGCGGCATTAAACACCAACCAACCAACCCACCATCATATCAGTATTACGGCTACCGGAGGTAAAAATAAATTCACTCACTGTATGTATTTCTTTCATGCAATACAAACATGAGATACTGTGGCGGCCGGGACACGAACTTCTAATAAACCTTGTCAATCGACACGAGGTGTTAGCCGACACCAGGACACCTAACCGACACCTAGGCCTACACACCTAGATGAAGAACAGCTGACACTCTGTACGGCATCATGCCCCTCACATCTAGAGTAGTGACGGTTGAAATACTGCATGCTCATGGCGTCTCAATGTTTCCGACAACACAACAATTATCAACATGGCCCAACAGTCTTAACCCCCTCAAAAAACGATGTAAACAATTTGCTAGATTTTGCCCATAAACACAGCGCGTCACTGTCAACGATCAGAGGATGAGTGGTTAAGATCCAATCAGGATATCAACATCATATATTGCACCAATACGGCTGTGACAGTCGGGGTACACAAAGCGCTGGTTATTACTGTAACTGAATACTCTTCTGTTTCTAGATACCTTGATATATACATGTGTATGTATTAGTGTTTAACATGTGGCCAAACAACGCCTTGCTTTAATAAACCACTGTATGTTGAACCCTCTCTTGGGTTTGTCGCTGCATGTATCGACCTTGTAGCATGATATGTTTTACTGACGAAATATATATATATCTGTGTGTGATGGAAACCCAGGGAGGACATTGTCGCTGTGTAGCTTGTCGCCTTTACCACGGACGCTTGTCACTGACGCGGTCTTAGCAGTATACAAGGGATGCAACGAGGCCAACACACGAGGTCAGTTCGTTGCAGGACAAATTCAACAAAATGATTTAGATATAAATAATATATACTGAGGGAAGAAAATAAGGTAAAACAAGGCTTTGTATCGCATAGCTTGTGAGGAAACCTGGAACAAATAAGGGAACACTTGTGCTTTCATGTGATCCCTTATTTTTTTGCCTCAGTATATATATGCCAAGATATAAATAATATAAATGCCAAGCAGATCGCTGTCTATTTATAGTGCGGGCCAAGGCAAAGGTCGTCAAAGGCAAATACGGCACATACTTGACTGAGATGAATGTAGGTAAACTCATTATAGCTGCTACGTTTTTGCGTCTCGGAAAAAAATTTCAGTGAGCCCACGGACAAATGCCAGCGAATCAGCGAAACAAGGAATTCGGCCAGTTAACGGTACAAATTCTGAGCAGGGATTTTGGCTCTGAATCGCAAAGTAATGATATTTAGGGCTACAGAAGACGCCATCTACTTATGTACGGCTCTGACTTTTGTCATCTTTGTGTCATTTTGTATGTAAATGGAAACGCGTATGTAATTATCTAGGGGTGTATACAGTGAGCGTTGTTGAATTCGTCCTACAACGTACTTGGTGTGTTCACCTTATTACAATCCTTTACTTTCATTCAGTGCTACCTTGGTGTTTTGGCGCTAAAAGCCCCTGTGAATGAACAGTTCTAAGTGGAAGATAATAACGTCGATATTCCACACCATGCCATAGCCACCCAAAGCCTCCAGTCTGACATTGAAGCCGGAGAGTTAGATAAAACCAGAGGCAATCTTTGTTTTGATTGGCGGTCAAAGATGGATCTGACATATCCTCCAATATAGATTCTATTTTTTAGGAAAATCACACAAACGCACACGCACATTCCCTACGCCATATTTCCCCAAGCTTCACTCTTCTAATCTCTGATAAACAAGTGTGCGTGTTCTAACTAAACACTGTTTAAAACAGATCACAGTACATAGACAGGTTGATAAGAACACAAGTAAATATAACTCCTTGCTGTCAAGTCGTGTAAGTATGCCACCTACCTTGGCGACATTATCTGCCATACAATCCGTGCCTGACCAGCCCGTGATGGACAAACACAGGAAAACAAGCATGGTGTTTACTGTATGGCCTCTTTTGACGTAGACAAAATCAGTATATATCATATTTACATTTTTTTACATCTATATACACTCTAAAAAACCGCAAAAGCCATTTTAGAAGAATATATTGCGTTAGTTTAAGAGCAATTATTTAGTGTAATTTCAATGGTAAAAAGGTGAAAATTCCAACGCCTATAGACAAAGAGTTCGCCAACACAACAGCAGCCTTTATTGTTGTGTTTCAGTTTACTTGAGTCCACAAGATTGCGTCAAAATCAGTACTTTGTATGGTCACCATTGGCAACAATTCATCCCCATGCTTCCTGACATGCGATGGCCAGTTGAAGAAGTGTCTGAAGTGTGTTTTGATGTTGACGTACACGTCGATCGAGTTCATCTCATAGGTGTTCTAGCGGGTTTATATCAGGTGATAGGGATGGCCATGGCAAGATATTCACGTAAGAATCAGCAAGGTGGCGGATCGTGACGCGTGCTGTATGTGAAGTAGCGTTGTCATGCTGGAAAGACGCCTTCCGTTGGTCCATAATTGGAAGCATTTTACATGCAGGGACTTCGTTCATGTACCGAAATGCTGTCAAATTCCCTGAACCACCACTAAACAGAGAGAGAGAGGGGGGTTATCAAAAGTGCATCTAGAACATTTTCAGTGCCGTATTCTACATTGCGTGATCGGATTCGGGGCAAAGTTGACTTGGAATGTGTACGATCGGGACCCGATGCCTTATTATCTCAGGAAGAAGAGCAGATGCTGGCCACTCATATTGAGATGATGTCTTCCTTATGATACGGCTACACACGTACGGAGGTTACAGCTTTGGCTACGGATCTTGCAGTTCGCCTTTGAAAGAAAACCAAGGATGAAAAACCCCTCTCGTTCCAATGGTTTCACAGCTTGTTGAAGCGATGGCCGGAACCTAAGGTTCAGAAACCACGTTCTCTGTAAACTATGCCAGCCAATTAAGCAACATCAGAGGAGACCATCAGCAAATATTTTGATGAGCTTGACACTATATTGGACAAGTACAACTTGAAAAATCGGCCTCAGTCTATCTACAACATTGATGAAAAGGGCATTGTACAGAACCTCCACCTCATGTAGTTTCATCACGCACCGATATCCCCGTGGCTGTGACAACACCCAGATCAAATACAACTACTGTTATAGGCAGTGGAAACGCCCTCGGCATGGTATTACCGCCCTGTTTTGTCTTTAAAGGACAGAGAATGCGTGAAGGATTGCTGACTGGCAGTTCTGTCGGTACTGAAGGAAGTGTTAGTGAATCTGGATGGTCGAACACAGAAATTTTCCAGAAGAACCTTGAAGCTCATTTCATCAAATATGCTCTACCACCAACGCCGGACAATCCAGTCCTAGTTTTGTACGATGGTCACAAGTCTCATGTATCACTGTCATTGATCAAGTGGGCACGGGAGAGACACATAATTATTTTTGTATTGCCTGCTCACACATCACATGTCTTGCAACCTATAGACATTGGATGTTTTGGTCCGTTTGAGAAAATTTACAACGGCATGCGACACAAGTTCTTGCGTGAACATTCCACATCTGGGATCAACCGATATTCTGTTTGTGAGATTGCACGTAAGGCTTATTGTGCAGCACTTACACCGGCGAATTTACAGTCGTCATTCAGGAAAAGTGGAATATATCCCTTTGACAGGAACGCAGTAAAGCGCAGCGTATTTCTTCGATCAACTGTTTTCAGCTCCATGCTGGATGTTGAATCATCATCAGTTAGTCCTTCTCCAGTTATCTCTGACGATAATATTGACGACAGCAGCAGTAGAAGTGTCGATTTCTTCCGAAATGCGGAACAAGTTTTGACAAGGAATGCTACAGCAACCAAGAAACGGAAAGTTCTAAGCTCTGTAGTAGGGGAAAGCTATCACTGAAGATAAGGTTATGGCAAAGATCGTCGAACATCAAGGAATGCAGCAGACGAATACAGGCCCAGAAAAGTCACACCAAAGAATAAATCGACTTCAACCACTCGACGGAAAACCATTTCACAGTCCCCAATTCTTTGCACCTCTGGCATCGTGACAAATAACAGAGTTTCAGATCATGACTCCATGAGCAGTGAAGAATCACAATTCGATGACCCCAGTGACCTCTGCTGTAAATGCAAGAAGTGGCAACCAGAAGAAGTCAAGCATTGTGTATCTTTGGTGTTTGTAACCTGGGCGCAGTGTACACACCCGACATGTCAGACCCACTTAAAGTATTGCAGACATGTAAGATCTAAGCGGAGGCATTCAGAGTTTTCGTGTCCTTGCCATGACGAACCGGAGGAGTAGACGTCATGTTCAAATATCAAATGTATATAATATGTTGTGAATTTCTAGACATTTTACGTTTATTCAATTTTCCAATATTTGATCATCATTGACTTTCATTATTACTGCCTTGTGAAACGGGTTTCCCCTTTGTGTCAGTGAGAGCAAGAGAGCTCCATATAAGAGGCGACAAAAATAGTCAACCAATGAGGCGAGCGGAAACATATGACGTCACCCTAAAGCAGTATGGCCGACAGTGGAATTCCGAGGCGAACGATAAAAACTTTGGGAGCGTGAACTTGCTGATTGCGACTGCTAATTAAAAGAAATGATTATCTAAACAGGCAGGCATAATATTTTTGTAATGGGCTTTGTTGTTTTAATTTTATATGCATTTATGTCCTATCCGAGCGAAAACACGTGTCACCAGGATATATCTGTGTGTTATGGAAACCCAGGGAGGATATTGTCACTTTGTAGCTTGTCGCCTTTACCACAGCAACCTGACCTACTGGGACCCTATTCACAAAACGTTCGCAGCACTATGCCATTTGTAAGCCTGTGATAGAGTACAGAGTTACCATAGGTTGTAACGTTACGAACGCTTTGTGGATCGGGACCCTGATCTCGATATTCGCCTCTTTCGACAAGCTGGTGCTGAAGAGCAATGATTGTAAACCGAATCCTCGCGGATCGCAAACTAGAAACCATCGGGAAATACATAGCCGATTTCAAAAGTAATTTAACCGTGGATTTATTTTCCGTTCACTATACATAAGGGTGTTCTTATTTGTACTGAGATTAGACAAAGGGAATGAAAACTAGTTTGTGAAAAGTGTATGGGACTTGAGGGTAAATCTGAAAAGTCTGTGGGACTTACAGGTAAATCTGAAAAATCTATTGGACTTGCGGGTAAATCAGAAACGTGTATGGGACGAACATGTAACTGAATTGAAAATGCATTTCTGTTTTTGTCAAAACGATTACGTATAACATGTCATATTTGACCGACACGTTCAGGTAATTCCCAATAGTTAGTTGTTCAGTTTCAGGTAAACTTAACCCTGAAATGAATGACGTTTGTTTGAAAGTTGATAAAAAGTGGGCACTTTCTGAGGTCTATGGAAATTGATTGGAAAGTAAAGCATTTCTGTTTTAAACAAGAATTAAAATACGTTGCAAGATGTTCGGGTTTTGTTATATTTAAACCCTGAAATGCATATTCATACGAAGTACTTTAACACTTTAATGTAAGGGAAACAGTACAAACGTGCCAGTTCATCACAAGCGGAGTACGACTTTACCTACTTCCGTCCAGTTACACTACTGAGCTCGTTTGCGGTGGAAAGACATTAGGGAGGTGACTGCTCAAAAATCAAAATAATGGCATAAGATATAAACTGGGAAAAGAACTGAAGCCATGTTGCTTCAAACATGCCTATGTTGATCAAATATGTTCAATGAAAATATTGCTGATCTGATGAACTAAGAGACGCTTTCGCGTCAAAGTTTTCTAGATTTTTATTGTCGTAATGTTTACTTGTTTGATCCTTTTAGCTTCAACATATAATTGTTGACAAGTGTAGCATTTATGTGAGTGTGCACACGTATCTATATTCCCTCTCTTCAGAAATACGACCGCCTCCGTGGTGTAGTGGTTAGAGCGTCCGCCCGGAGAGCGGAAGGTCGCGGGTTCGATCCCGACCGCGTCATACCAAAAGACGTTAAAATATGGTACTTGTTGGTCCCTGTCTGGCGCTCGGCATTAATGGGTACAACAAGGATTGGTCGGCTCGGAGTATAATGTGTCTGAGTGGGGTATTCATGCTTCACTGCGGCATGGTACCTCAGTGGGCTAGCACTATAAAACCAGCTTAAATCTGGGCTAGATTAAGCAGGTTCGCACATACACATACACACGCATGCACGTCGTCATATGAGCGAAATATTCTCAAGCACAACGTTAAACCCAATTTCACCTCACCTCTTCAGAAATACAAAAAATGCAAAACAGATGAGCCATGTGCATATTTTGACCAATCTAAATGAAAGATTCTTGGGTTCCCTCGCCAATGAGATGCCAGCTTTCTAACATTCGTATCGATTCACTTTCCAAAACACCAGATGCAATCTGTTGTTTTCAATAATCCATACATATTATTTTGTTCTGTTTTAGCGGATAATCGAGACCGATTTGGGCTGGGGTTGAAGATTTACCATCTCAATTCTGATATTTTTTATCTGAGCTCAGGAAAACTGAATATATATACTTCGGTTATATACCATGGAACAATTGGGGTTTTTTAATTTCCATTCAACAATCCCTGATCATGATTACACAATGCCATTTAGAAAGTGGTCAAATGTAACATGTGTTATATTTGGGATTACACTTTCTTAGTAAAATACAAATTCTAGTACTTTTTGAGTTGAGCTCCATCCGGGATTCGAACTCACACCCTCAGAGTCAGGCACCCAATCGCCAGCACACAAAGTCAGCTGCTTAACCCACTCAGCTGCCGCGACTTCCACAAAGCCCGCAGTCTAGACTACCAGTTGTCCGACTTCCATTTTTGTGGAAGTCGCGGCAGCTGAGTGGGTTAGGCGGCTGACTTTGTGTGCTGGCGATTGGGTGCCTGACTCTGAGGGTGTGAGTTCGAATCCCGGCTGGGGCTCAACTCAAAAAGTACTAGAATTTGTACTTTACTAAGAAAGTGTAATCCAAAATATAACACATGTTAAATCCCTGATCATATTCGTTCCCAAGGTACAGAAAACAGAATATATGAATGTGTCTATCACTCGCACCGAGAATGTACACGCCAAGATGATGATTGGCTAACTTAAAAGTTCATCTGACCCAATCTTCCATAGACATGTCCTGTAATCTGAGGCCACACACTTAATCGTTACCTGGTATTTGTTATGAAGAATAGCTATTTTTATCAGTTACAACTGATAACGAAATATTTTGTTAAAAATCTTTGGACCTACATATTTTTGTCACGTAAAAGCTAGCAACACGGCACGAGGCGTGCTGCTGACGGCGTATTCATGGCAAATCTGTGATTCGAACCTACAGTTATGGGTTCCTGGTATGCCTAAGGGAGGCAAATCTGCATAGCAAATTTGTGCACTTCAGACGACTGAGCCTTTCGTGAATAAACCCACTTATCAACAAATGAGCAAGATTAACCAATTCAAGTTGACAGCTCTCAGTAGATATCACTCTTCCCTGCAGTGTGCGAAATAGCCACTGGCCCGCTAGCCCGTGGCTAATAAAATCCAGTCGGGCCAGTAAATCTCCACAGTCACTGGCCCGACTGGCTGGTGAATTTTCATGGGGTCATTTAGTAAATATATCACTCTCTTCGACTTGTTTAGTTATAACACACTTTTAAATCAAGCAAGATTATGGCCTGATGGAAATGTTCATAATATTAGCAGCTAAATGATGAAACCCGTGTCATGCCGACAGTATCTTATTCTCATCTATTTTTGCAATCTTTTGCTTAGATTCTACATTCAAATTTCGGGCTAGTGAATTATTTTGTGGGCTACTTACTTTCATGCATAGCTAGCCCGATGGCTAGCAATAATAGGAAACTATTTCGCTCACTGCTTCCCTGCGAATTCATCGTACCAGATAAAACCGAATTATGCCTTCCTAAACATGCAATAACCATGCTCATCTATCACAAAGCTCTCCCTATCATACACAACGCCTTTATTACGGATGTGGTCCGTCATTATATCAAGATAACCTGACACTAAACTATGACCCGTTGAAACAATTGCCGAACTTTCACAATCCCACCTACACACTTTGATAAACTCAATCCACATATGCCTAGTTTCTGACATACCTCAAGTCTGGAGCAATGTGAACAAGTTGGATATCCTTGACACCGAAAGGTCCTGAAGATCCTGAACCACACTGTTGTGTCGTCACTACTGAAAGAAAATATTGTTAATCGCCGTATCACTATGGAAGGAAATAAGCCCTTGCTACCATGTGAACGTGAGTCGTAGATCACGTGGATTTTCACACACAGGAACGATGTGGCGCGCCCCGTTCCTCATTACCTTGGTAACATTAGGTAGGTATAAGTGTCTTTATTACCAGACACCTGGCAGTATCCAGATATACTGAGGTGCTTCTTAATATGAATTTGTTTATCAAATGTAAAAGTTAAAGGACACCTCTGACGTTTACTATCACGTACCTCTGATTTATCATCAGAGGTAACATTTCAGATAAGAAATAACCCTAACCCTGACACTAACCCCTAACCCTGACACTAACCCCGACACTAACACTAACCCTTACCCTGACACTAACCCCTGACCCTGACATCTTAAAGTAACTTTTAGGGGGTTTTATTAACTGCCTTAGATTGTCTAAGATATGGTGCAGATTGTTTCTAAGTTCGTCAGATTCACAACCCAGTGGGGATTCTACATGTTCAGGCCTCTCGAAATAAACTTAAGTTTTTACTCAAATTTCAAACGGAGTGTGACAATTTGAAACAGCTAAAGTTTTAACTCAACTGCATTTTTAAAATATAAAAGCCCAAACAACTTAAGTAATGTATCCACCAAACTCAAATTGTATACCATGTTTGAGTTTGATATCGATTTCAGTTCGTTCTGGGAAATGCAATTTCCTGTGGTTTCTCAAATTTGAGTGAAAAGTCAAATTTAGGTCAAAACTCAGACTTAAGTTTGTTTCGAGAAATCGGGGCGAGGTGGTCAAATCGGTGATTGGCTGATTGTACATCATCGTATCCTGGTGGCAACATCGGTGTTCATAATATCAATCACTATCTAGTCTCGACAAGATTTCTATATCTATAAGCGGGCGTCATATACCTAGAAACCGGTAGAGCGCAACAGACATGTGTGCCGTTGTACACATTGATTTAGTGCGAAGAAGATCATACTTAACACAGACTTACGATAGTCGAAGCGCTAAGGTTGTTTTGTAGAACGGCACACTGCCGATGAGATGCCAAACTAATTTGTTTTTATTAATATAATTAAACACCAATACCAAACACTGAATATTTATTCTCACAGAGACCAGAGATGTGTCATGTCTCTGTATCCGTGGCAACCATTGGAAAGACTACTATATTCTTTCGCTTACACAGATGTGTATACCTTTAGCAAGCAAATTCAAAACGCCAAAGACAGGGAATAAACCAATGTTTCAAATAATGTGTTAGACAAATTCCTTAGAGAGAATCCTTATTTTCAGAATTGCCATTGGTGTGGAAAGGTCATGCTCAAATATTGTTAAATCTGGAGTAAATAGTACTTAATATTTCATTCTTCAGGTATGTAAAAGATTGTAACCTTACTATACTTCCAAATAATCAGGCGGTTGGGTAGCTGAGTGATTTAAGCGTTCGCTTGTCACAACGAAGAACCGGGGTCAATTCTCTACATTGGCAAAACGTGTAAAGCCCTTTTCTCGAGTGTCCCCCGCACTAGATATTGCTTGAATACTGCCAAGGGCGGTACAAAACTGTACTGATTCACTCCAACTTGTCTTATAATTGTTATGGTATTGACTGAAAGTCTTATTATCACTTCTTTCAACAGTGACAACGTCGGCGGAATCCAACGTCACTTGCGGTGTTCCGAAGGTGGTTCCTGCAACGTCGCGTGTCGTGAATGGTCAGGAAGCCAGGCATGGGGCATGGCCATGGATGGTATAAAGATAGTTTTTCTGTATATATTCACTACCTAATACGCTTGATAATATATTTATCACATGCAAACTATTGAAATCGTATAGCTATAATAAGTGCACTTATACTGCGCCAAACGTCAGGCGCAGAGTGCTTGCTCATGGCGCGACAAACAATACGAAGTCACTGCAAAAAGTCATAGGCGGGTTTTTCCATGGGTGCTAACAAGTTATAGAAAGTCTGAAAGAGATAGGTTTTGAGGTCGCTCTTAAATTCTGCCTACTTGATTTGAAGAGGTAACGGGTTCCATAAAGTGGCAGTCCAGTAGACAAAGGAATATATCTAAACTTTTTAAGATTGTACTTTGGTACTTCAAGTAGACGATGGTCGGCAGATCGAAGTGATCTCAGTGGTACATAAATTGTGAATGAGATCATTCAAATATGGAGGAGCTGACTGATGATAACATTTTTAGACATGAGTCAAACGTTTAAATTGAGTTCTTGCTTGTACAGGAAGCCAAATTGAATGCAGTGATATGGGTGGTGTAATGTGTGAAGATTTCCTAGTCCTGGTGACTATACGTGCAGCAGTATTTTGCACACGCTGAAGTCTGGCAAACTGTTCTTGGGAGACATTTCCGAGCAGACTGTTGCAATAATCCATCTGGATGACTCAAGTAGCGCCTATCAAGTTGTACAATGAGCAGATCCTATTACTTCTGGAAACCTATTTGACCAAAACAGATGTGGCTGGTCTCAGCCAAGGGTACTTATATAACTCAACAGGCTGTTTTCATGATTTCGATACTCATATTTTACAAAAGAGTAAACTCTCATATCAAAACTACATGTATGTTTTGTAAACATGTCCACTATCCAGGGAATGTATGCAAAATGTGATCGATCTATGGACACGTTGCTCAAAGATATTATTTCAAGACAGATGGCATGACCTAAGCAATCTAGAGGAGTGTCAATAGTCACGTTACTCACATTCCTGACTTCCAGGTCCTACTCCAGGAAATGACAGTACCTGTATGTGGCGGCGCCATTTTGAACAACCGTCTAATACTGACGGCAGCGCACTGCTTTGACGAGTAAGTATCTGTGCTCCTGTGTCAGTTTACACTGAAGGTATCAAGGTATGGCCAACACCTTCCGTCAATGTCAACGCCACGAGGTGAAACGAGACCATGCCACAGTTTAAAATGGACACCCCTCTCAGACACAGCATGATGACTTCGAGCAGTCGAACGCCATTCAGGGTGACAACAAGTTCAATATAATAACGTCATGAGGAAGCCGGAATTCAACCACCGACCTTCCGTTTTCCTGGCATACGCCACGAATACAGTATGTGTGTGTTGATGTAAATGAGTTAGGTTCATGAGAGCCATATAGAAGTTGGTATTCAAGTATAGGACAAAATATTATGGATGTCATGTTCTTCTTTATTCTATACACAACGTTTCAGCCAAGTAACGTTGTGGATGAAATAAAGAAGGACTTGACATCCATAATATTTTGTCTAGTACTTAAATGACTTGGTCGCAAAGGATCGCTTTGCTCAAATGCTGTTCGGTTTAGGTTTCCAATCAATAATCAGGTATATTGACCTTTTCCGACTGAGAGAGGCGGTGCAGAGATTAAGAAATATACTGAAAGTATTATGTGAGTTTATTCACGCTGCACTCAGCAGTATATGCTAAAAGACGGTGGGCTGTCAATAACCAAATCTAAACCAGAAAAACGAGTGAATGCTGTTCGCCGTAGTCACGCTATCAACAAAGCTACCCTGTTCGATCCATTTGGTCGCTTCTTACTATGTGCTTAGGGTCCATCCTAACCCGGCATCCCTTCGGATGTAGTAAGTGAATATGGTTTTATGCGGTCTTTTAGAAATATTTCAGCAATATCACGGCCGGGGACACCAGAAATGGACTTCACACATTGTACCCCACCCTCGAAGTAGAATGGACTTTTAAAACAAGGGCAATGTCATGTTATGTGATGGTTGTTTGGAGATTCTTTGTATCAGGGAAGTATAACTGAAGAAATGAAATTTTACTAATTTGACATGCATAATTTAGTAGTTCTGCTCGCGAAAGATGAATGTTCTCAACTGAGATATAGGAGGTATATCATGAAACTATTAACACTAGTTCTACATCTTTACAGAGCCATAAGTAAAAACGTTGCGCGGTGGCAGGTAGTTGGTGGCAAGCACAACGCTGACCGGTATGACGTCACGCAACGCACTTACCACTTGAAAGAGCTCGTGATTCACGAAAATTACGACAGCCACACCGTCCTAAACGACATAGCTCTTCTCGTGCTTCATGAGACGATCGACTACACCGACTACATCCGGCCTGTGTGCCTGCCATCTTCCTCCGAGCGTCTCTACGTTGGCCAGCACTGCTACTTAGCGGGATGGGGAGACACACTAGGTAGGTACAGGTGTAAGTGAGTTTACAATGGTGTAGTTATATCACGACATGCGAACTATGTGAGGGAATGACCGTGAAGATCCCGGTCTTCAGCGTCATTTACTGTAAAAAGAGACGGCTTAAGGTATAGATGGGTAACTGAACTTCTGTGTTGCTCCCAATATACTATTTGTTAATTGATGCAGATCTGCATCGCGCTCCTTTCTGCAACGTAAATGCAGCATGACTCCCTTCCTGCCGTTCAATTACTCAAGTGATATGGCTCTGAAAAACAATTTTGTTGACATCCAAACCAAAGGCAATGCTTGCCTATCTGAAACTGAGCGGATCCGTGGGATTAGAATGATTGAATCGGAATTTCACAAAACGGTGTTTGGGCTTTCACGGTAACACCTTACAGTCACGCTGAGGTCTGTAACTACTGACTGGAACACCACATTCTTGACAATCATGAATCGTTCAGTTTACAAATCGGTTTCTGACTGCATCCGAAAAGCGAAAGTATTGTGAGGTATCGATACCGGAGCATAACATCCGACTGCGACTTCCAGCTATACAAGCAGTCTTGATGTCACCTCAACGTACTCCCCAACTGGCAAGGTCAAGGCAACTTGGTTACCGGTCGGAGATTGGTCCTCTTAAAAAAATGAGGTCATCTTCTACACAGCTGTGAAATGTCGGTGTCGCACGGACGCAAATGTTCTTCTACCTTCGATAGTGGGAACGTAATAATGAGGAAATATCGTATATCGATGATCATCCACTACAGTTTGGCCGGTTTCAGTACTGTGACGATGCTATTCGTCTGCACGTCCAACTTCAGACCTACGGACGTCACATCACTTTACTAGCGAACAGCGCTCGCCCTCGAACAGTACGTGACTACACAGAACAAAAAAAATTCAAGTTTTGCCATGTCAGATGAAAGGAAACGGCGTTTACATCGATGTCCAAACTATCAAGCACACGATTCTGAGATGTGTCTTGACAGCTACATTCATCCTGAGATGACGTTCACAATGGACATGTGATGCCGCTGTGTTGATGAATTATGTTTCATCGACACCAATATATTGTCCTGTTGAGAAATCGGGGTTTTTTTGTTCGCGTTTTTTTATTGTTTCCAATACATTATGATATATTATCCCCGGTTTTGTCCTTGAAAGATGAGTACCACGAGAAATAAAATGTAATGCTAGGATTACACTATGTTCGGCAGCCCCGTTTCCCCAAAACGTAGTGCGCCCTGGTATTTTGGCCATTTTTTTCCTCCAAAGTCAAATTTTGTAAGGTCCTGATAAGTTTTCTCACGGTCTATCACGGTATCCGTGATGGGCTGTAGGGAAAACGGGCTGCTGAGTCCCGGAAGTTCGACCCGCAGTCCACTACGGATGCCAAATACGTTTCCTCTCGGCCTGTCGCGTTATGATGGGTTCCCTCACGTTTCTCACGTTTTGATCGAGGTTTTGACACATTTTGTGCGTTCTGCGAAGGCTTTCTATGGATGAAACGTGGACGCCGGCCAGCTTTGAACCACGTTTGTGCCCACGGTATAAAATTAAGGCCTCCCAAGCAATAGCAGCCATTGTATCCTGAGACACAAGAGCAGCATGAATCCCCAAGATGAAGAAGATTTTGTGTTTTTATGTTTGTTGGGGGCATACATTGAGTCCTTGCGTCAGCAAGAAGGCCAGTATCAGATGCAGAGAGGGAATACCAGAGAACGCAATCTGCCGTATCTCGCCGGCCCTGTAAACCGTCACACACCTGGATGCGTCGTGATAGAATGGGACGAGTCGGCCACCATACAGCCTGGCTTGCCGTGAGAACCGGGACAAAACGGACAGCAAGGGTGAAACAACCGTGACAAAACGCCAAACAAACGTGGCCGAACGTGACAAAACTTGAAAGGGCCGTGAGATGCCGGGGAATACACGTCTCCTGTCCCACTACGGACCGTCTACAAGTTTTGTTTTGGCCTATTACGTGCTGTCACGTTTTTTTTGCGTTCCCCCCGTTTTACTACGGCCTACGAGGTTTCTCATTAGTACCGTGACTGCCGTGGCAAACTTTTGAACAGTTTAAAAATCTGGCACGGCAATCACGGACTGTCACGTTTGCTCATTCAGTGCCCCACGTTGTCCATCCCTTTTCGGTGAAACGGGGCTGCCCTGGCCGCCGGGAACATAGTGTAACCCGAGTATATTACATGTATGTTTATCATAAACACATATATAGCACAACAGGTATTGATTACGAATATCTAACCTGTTATGCCCTAGGGACCGGCAACGACAACGTCCTGAACCAGGTGCTACTTCCCCTGATCAGCGACAACGTGTGCAGCAGGCCTGACTGGTACGGTTCCGAGTTCACGCCCAGTACAATGCTGTGTGCCGGTTACGCGGCGGGAGGGAGGGATGCATGCAGTGTAAGTATTTCATCCTCATCCAACAACACAGTTGGTCAGCAGAATTGTACGCCGCTCTGAATAATACTCAGGTTGTTTGGAACCTGTCGTAGCCCTTTACCTTAATTCCTGTTGTAATATCGAGATAATGCAAAGCGAGAGTAAACAATAACAGCAGATAAAATATCTTTACATAGAATCGCCCAGGTCTTCTTGATGAAGCGACTAGATGACGCCATAGAATGTTTCTACGGTGTAATTAAACTATTTCCAAACATCGAACATGTCATGGTGAAGGAATTACATCATTTGCATTCAGGTTGTTACCTGACGGTACCAGGTAAATATGAATCATCCGAATTGTATTTAGTTCTTCCCTGATGTGGTCAGTACATAACATGGAAAACATGCGGAGTTTCAAATGTTTTGAATTGCCGTTTGTTTGTGTGAGGACAAATTTACATGTCATCTATAGAAAAAATGGAAACTGCTCTATCCAACTGTTTATTCAAAACAATATTCATTCACAGGGAGACAGTGGTTCACCTCTGGTCTGCAAGCACGGGGATGCATGGTACGCCGAGGGTAAGATGCTGTTATTTTCCCTCTTGTTCAAATTTTCCAGGTTTGACCAGTCAAGCACTTGAAGCAGTCCGTTTTGCTTTCCTACCCTCAAACCAATCGTAAACACTTGTGAAAGAGGCGTAATAACCAATAATAATGTGTATCACCCCATGTTTAGTGTTGATCCAAAGGCCAGTATTACGTGAGTGAATGAGTATGGTTTTACGCCGCTTTTAGCAACATTTCAGCAATATCACGGCGGGGGACACCACAAATGGACTCACACAGTGTACCCATGTGGGGAGTCGAATTCGGCGTTACGAGCAAACTCTTTAACCACTAGGATACCCCACCTCCCCGCCAGTATTTCGGCTGCCAGAAGTATCACCCCCTGTTTTGTGTTGTTCCATCAGACGAGTTTGATTAGCAGCTGAGATTGGCTGTATCCTCACAGCTGAGACTGGCTGTATCCCCGCAGGGGGTTGAAGTATTGTAAAAGTATTGTCCTCCTGTGGGGATACGCAAGTCCCAAAACATTCAAGGTAAATTAAACGTACCGAATTTGTAAAGCAAGGTATTTGTGTGTTTTTAAGTTATGGTTAAATCTAACTACAGTCACCAGCGGCTGAGGGGCTGATATAGATCCGTCGAAGGTCCATGCAGGTAGCCAAAGTACTGTAAGTCCCCATGGTATCTAGTATGATGAGCTACCTTCAGTTGCTGGTGATCTATATCCCGTTTTATATTGTACTGTCTTGCATTATAGTAGAAGTTTTTAGTTACATGCTAGTTTCATATCTCTATCTGTGATACACTTGTAGTTTTACTGTTCATCGTAAACAGTTTTATAGCTTCAAATATTATTGATCTTTTCTGATAATTAATTGTTCTCGTCACGATATGGCTGAAATATTGCTGTGACGATAAATATTTACTCACTCACCATCAGACCAGCGACTGGAAGTATCACTCTCTGTTTAGTGTTGCCCCAAAGGCCAAAATTATAGCTACCGGAGGTATCAGCCCCTGTTTAGTGTTGCTCCAAAGGCCAGTATTACGGCTACCGGAAGTATATCACCCTCTGTTTAGTGCTATCCCAAAGGCCAAAATTATGGCTACCGGAGGTATCAGCCCCTGCTTAGTGTTGCTCCAAAGGCCAGTATTACGGCTACCGGAAGTATCACCCCCTGTTAAGTGCTGCTCCATCAGATCAGCATTTCGGCTACCTGAAGTATCACCCTCCGTTTAGTGTTGTTCCATCAGGCCGGTATTACGGCTACCGCAAGTATCACTCTATGTTTAGTGTTGTTCCATCAGACCAGTATTACGGCTACCGGAAGTATCAGTCCCAGTTTAGTGCTGCTCCATCAGATCAGTATTTCGGCTACCGGAAGCATCACCTCCTGTTTAGTACTGCTCCATGACACCAGTGTTACGGATACCGGTGTTTCAAAATGCTTGTCGTAAGAGGCGATCGGGTGGTCAGGCTCGCTGATTTCACGGACACGTGTCATCGTATCCCAACTGCGTAGGTCGATGCTCATGCTGTTGGTCACTGGATTGTCTGGTCCAGACTCGATTATTTGCAGACCGCCGCCATGCAGCTGGAATATTGCTGAGTGCGGCGTTAAACACCAACCAACCAACCATCAGACCAGTATAACGGTTACCGGAGGTATCACACCCTGTTTAGCCTTGCTCCATCAGACCAGTACTTCGACTACCGGAAGTACCACCCGTTTGGTGTTGCAGGTATAGCCAGCTGGGGCTGGGGCTGCGCAGAACAAAACTTGCCGGGGCTCTACACGGAGGTGTCCAAGTATGTACACTGGATACAAGCCAAGGCTACGGAGCTGGGCTACCCAATAAAATTATAAGTCAAAAATTATCTTTCTTTCATTACATAATGAAGCAAACTTAACCATAACACATACTTACTGGTTTCTGATTTCAAATCTTCCACGCACAATTTACGTTACTCACGCTGTACATAGCAATGAGTTCCATACATAGATGATCATTTGTCTACCTAATACATTTCGTCGAGGCCGTCCCACATGGATACAATGTGTGAAGCCCATTTCTAAAGGCGCCGTAAAAGCTCACTCATTCGTCGAGACTGTTTCCGTTTCCAATGTATTTTATCAGTTTTCAGTTTTCTGACAGGAGGTTGGTAATTGTATTGGTTTTCCTCATGGGCTTACAAGAAACTAATGTTATGGTTCTGATTGGGACAGCTGTTTGTGAGTGACTGAATGTAGCTTTCGACAATACCGTTTTCGACAATACCCCAGTCCTGTATTGAGAAATACACCTCAGAAATTCTTTTTGTGGATTGTTGATTAGCGTTCGGAGTTTTCAGGTGTTTACAGGTTAACAGTTTGCACAAAATGGCATTCATTAACCTGTAGTTTTCTAATATTCCGTCGGTCTATCCGGTTACTCAGTTTTTAAGGTTTCGGTCATGCATGATGTTCACTTTACGTCGTGACGTAACATGAAATATTGGCGGTGCTTAACTCATCACACTTACACACACGTCGTATATCATCTACAACGAGTTGGACAGAGTCGAATAATGAGTTTAAAGGCGCTTGTACTGCTCTACATTATACAATCTGAACTTATCCTCAAAGCCTTCCAAAAAAGCACGCAAAAGTAAATTTAGTAACATAAATAATGCGGTTCTAAACCTGAGTCAAATAGAAACTACAAAACCTTTCACACATCCATAAGAAATCGCTGCTATAAGCAAAGTCGATTGTAAAATTTCGCACCCGTGAAGATCCGGGTTAGAATGGATCTTCAGTAACCTATATTTGTCTTAAGAGGCGACTAACGGGTTCGGCTGGTCAGGCTCGATGACTTGGTACATGTCATCGTATCCCAATTGCGTCGATCGATGCTCATGCTGCTGATCACTGGATTGTCTGGTCCAAACACAGACCGCCGTCATATAGCTGGAATATTGCTGAGTGCGGCGTAAAATTAAACAAACCCACTGTAAAATTTCGACTATATCATCAGTATGTGTTTATTTCAAGCAATACAAACGTTGAGATACTGTGGCGGCCGGGAAACGAACTTCTAATAAACCTTGCCAGTCTTGGTGTAACGAAGAGTCAAACACCTCTCTTCAGTGAATAAATAGGTTTTTATTCATATAGGCATACTTCAGCACAAAGTTTTCTTATAAGTAGATCCCCCTCATCTTCCAAATTTTAAAATAAATGAACGAATGAATGAATGAATTATAGCAAGAATTAAGAGCAATAATTATATGTGAATGAATGAAAGAAATAAAGAAAAAAAACAAGAGAAAGAAATACATATGTAAATGAATGAAAGAATACATGATACACCCCGGCCACCCCTCCCCAAACATTTTAAAGCACACAAAACTATCGCTAGAACACATGCGTTAACATCAGCTGTCAAAAAAAAAATTAAATCTACTTTGAGACGTTTTTTACATTAGTTATTTAGCCTTCAGATATCTTCCTGCAGAATGTTAATTGACACTGTCACACACACCTCAAATACAGAAAGTTTAAAACTATCACAAAACTATCACCTTTCCCGTTTTGTCAAATACTAAGATCAACACGAAAGGAAGAAGTTTTAGAACTGTAACACTCAAGCATCACAGGCATCAATGGCGGATCAGAACAGATCGGCGATATGTCATATTTTTCACACACATAATACACCCTAACAATTTTTCTAAAATTATAAAAATATAAACTACCCACATCTGTATATAGTTGTCATGTGGTTTCTTCAGAAACCGTATTCCTTCACTCCCTTTCCCCTCTCTGTGACAAAAAAGATACGACTGTTCGTCAATACACACGCCACAGGGCTTTGTCACGCAGTCTTTCGATGTCAGAATGTGTCTGACAAACTCCCCATTAGCAGTCAAATGGGTGACCTTGTTGGAATCTCTGTCCACGAAAACGATCCCTCCGGCAGCGTCTGTGACGATACCCCGGGGTGCCCGAAGTGCACATCTTCCTTCAGGGCGGTAACAGAATACGATATCGCCACCCTCTGTTATACATACGACTGCTTTTGATCCACTGTCTGATACAACGATTTCTCTATTTGGAGTTACCGACAGGAAATGTGGAGCCCGGATCATAGTTTGGTTTGCTATGGTTTTAAGAACGTTCCCTTCCAAATCTATGACATCAATACTTGGAGGAGACAACGCTCCTACCGCAAGCGATTCAGAGTCCAATGAAGCAATGCCCGAATAAACCTTTTGTGTTGGTACTTCCGAATGGAGGGTAAGGTTCGGAAACTGAACATTGGCCACAATCAACTTCTTCTTCTCCAGAATCGTAGCAACTACTCGGTGCAGATTCATCTTACACAGATTCCACGGAGCTTCACCCGTATGCAAGCGGCTACGTATTCCACCGAGCTCTGAGCTGACCATTAATAGGCATTTGTTGCTATTATCTGCAATCACCAATGTTTTACATCCGTTATCTGCCGGGAATACCACGATGTCTGTAGGATTTGGTGTGCCGTGATCAGAGTCTTCAATGTCAATACCTTGCAGCAAGTAAGGCACAGATACGTGGTCTGTCGGGCCACTGTATATTCCGTTAACAGTGAGCATAGAGGACAATGCATTACGCAGATGGTTTCCATCGACTTTGTTCTTTAGGGATACCTTCACTACGTTTCCTCTAGAACTCCTTGTGGCAGGACAGGGGTCACCAGCAAGGTCTGACTTGCAAGATTGGTACATCTCATACAGATGACTGTCAGAGTCGGACTTTAAAGCTTGATCAATGAAGACAAGATTCTGATTTGATATCTTAACTGACATTTGATTTGATTTGGATTCCTCTGCCAGCTCCTCCAGAGACTTCGAGGCAATTTCATCCACCTCTTCAAGCAGTTCTGTTTCTTTCTGGTGAATGAAGTCTACAGCTTTCTTACACGCCTTCTTGATTTCCTCTTTAGCTTCATCAGCACTGCCGGAAAGGGCATCCATCTGAGTAAGCGGTATTCTCAATCTGTCCTCCTCTTTCTCAACTCTTTCCTGTATTCTCCGCTTCGTCTCCCTCAGCACAGACTTCATGCACTCAGTCATGGACTGAACCGTGACCACGTTCTTGCACGTTCTGTGGTCAATGCTGTTGCAGGTATTACAAATGGCCCTGTCACAGTCCTTGCAGAATATTTTCACTACCTCTTTGTGACTTTGGCAAAATATGTTCTGCTTCTTACGAATGACGTCACATCTGTTTGATATCGTCTCTATGTGATGATCGGCTGACATACGCATGAAGTCATGGGATATCACACAGTCGTCACAGTAGGCGGCCGAACATTCAGAACACCAGGATTTAGCTGGTACATCCTTCCCCCCTCTTCCTACACACGTCGCATAGAATGGTTTCTGTAAATGCATCAAATCAATATGGGAACTGAGCTTCGAGTGGTTCAAGAATAACATCCCCTTCACTACACTAACATATCAAGAGACCATTAACTACATTTACTTTACTTGTCCTCTAACACGAACCAGTAAAATACAGGTATTTAACATTGGATTGCAAATGTTGCACTTCAAAACTAGTATCTTCAATCTTTATGATGAAGCTTATCGAACACAAATCTATTTTAAACATTTATGTATTTCATTTTTACAGCGAAAATTATTTTCGATCATACTGTGTGCAAAACACGAAGAGTCCTTCATAAGTTTATGACAAAGTAACAATATATGAGATTTCTCACACCAACTGTACAATCAATCCTAATGGATCCCATCTCCTTCATGCTAATGCCAAACTATACTACCCATCAAAAGTTTAGACTCACTCGTGTAAATGTAGCCACTTACCTCAGTGAACTGTTCTAAAACTAGATTTTGCAATATATTCCATACTGTTGAAAGGTACTGTTTAGACATGAACTGATGTATTGTAAAACAAATTCGTAACGTTGAAAAGATTATTGTCATTAGTTCAATAAATGATGAAACTCAGTGAAAATTGGCGAATTCTTAAAAAATAATTACACCAAAACTCAGCTGTTCACATGCACGATATTTGCACATGCTTATCAGCAATTCATCTTCATAATATTATATGGTCTCTGCATATAGTGAGTGCTTTAAGTGAGTGTAAACTTTAGATGGGTAGTATATCTCTGCCCATTAACGTATAAGAACTGACTAATATGTTTTGTGTTTATGGCGGTATAACTGCAAACAAGATATATATCCAGTATAAAATTTAGCTGCCATAAAGTCATGTGTGATCACCATTAGATGTAATTTGAACAAAAGACGAACCATCAGCTCCAGGACCGAAAGTGTCCATGAGGCTCTGCACCAGAAATCCGGCCTCTATCTGTTTTGCCCATTGTTGCACTGGCTTGTTCGGCTGAGGAACTTTGGTATGGCGGCGACAAAATGGACATGGAATGGACTTGTCCCTAATGGCGTCTGGCTTCGTCTGCGTGAACTGAGTCAGGCACCCACGACAGAAGGTATGTTGGCAGGCTAAGGTGGCCGGGTCTGTATAGACGTCGGAGCAGATGGCACAGGTAAGAAATTGTTCCTGGAAGTCCTCGGCTGTAGCCATGGTCTGTGGAGGCACAAACGTTTGTAGCACTATAACAAGGTGAGGGATGGGGCAAATTGTAGCATGCATTGTGTGATTGTTTGGAGTAAACGCAGTCTGCATGGGGAACCACGGCTCCGGACGTCAGATACCATTCCTGGTATCTCAATTATAGGTGAGGTGAAATGTGATTTATGTATGTGTGGCTGCTTGTACTAGACCAGACTTAAGCTGGCTTTATAGTGCTAGCCCACCGAAGGACCATGCCGTAGTTAAGCAGGAATACCACTCAAACACATTATACTGACTCCGAACCGACCAGTCCTTATTGTACCTATTAATGCCGAGCGCCAGGCAGTGACCAACAAGTACCATATTTCAATGTCTTTTGGTATGAAGCGGCCTGGGATCGAACCCGCGACCTTCTGCTCTCCAAGCAGACGCTCTAACCACTACACCACCGAGGCGGGCGTAGCTCAATTATAAGTGATTTGGTACGCGCTTTCCGTAACATATAGTATTCCTAGAAATTACTGAGAAAGTTGTTTCGGCAAATATCTAATACATGTATATAGAAGTTTTACTTAAATGAATATGTTGAGATATGATTCTCATACAGTCTAAGTGTCTTTTCAGTACTTAGTGAGACCACCTTGCCCTGCAATACATGACTGAATGCGCCAAGGTACACTACCGATTAAAATTGTAGGAAATCGTGTGACAGCTTATATACCAATATTGGACCACTTCTTTCTTCATATCCTCAATATTTCTAAGTCCTTTTTGGTTTATTCTGTCCTTCATTAGTCCCCACACATTCTCAGCAGGGTTAAGATCTGGGCTGTAGCTGGGCCAGTCTAAAACACTATCGTCCGACAAACACTGTTTTGTGTAGCCCGCAGTGTGTTTTGGGTCGTTTTCATGCTGGAAAATCCAGTTATCTTCATATACAGTGTTGGCCGTTGGAAGGAAGTGATCATTTAAGATGTCAACATGTCGTTCCTTCGTCAAATTTCCAGTGAATATACACAACCGTGTCACTACCAGCTACCTCTTTTGCATTAGTCACACCTCTTTCAAAATCATCTACAACCAGCTATATTTTCTCTTCTGCTGTCAAATCTGTCATGGCAACAAAGGAAGCTGCCAGGGGAGATAACTCTTGATGTACTAAGGTTCATTCTTAAGGCTACAAGAGTTGCCTCCCATATTGAGTACCTTATTACATATGTAACACCTACTTTAATATTCAATTATCAGTATTAGGAAGCAAAGATTTCCCAATAATGTCTGGGAAAACTGTAAAACAAAAACATAATAGTTTATTGTCACTACCTACATAAGCTTCATGTCAACTTATAGTAATCAAAAGAAAACACATCAACTATGACCAAATCTTCAACAATGTTATTTATACTATACTAAGCAGCAAAATAAACGTCAGTTTGGAATTTACCTTCGCAGAAACTGTAAACTCATTTAATGTTTTGATTGTATATTTTTGACAATATCTCCAACTTTACCTGAGAAAAGACATTCCTTCCCAAACTCAGAAAGGAACCCAGGAAATGGTCTCAAAAACGCAACCTGATCTCGGAGATGGTACGGTGTTCTCCATGTTTTTCATGCAACTCATGCTGCACATGCTGTTCACAAGGACCAGCCCTATAAAATGCACCCCCAAACCTGGTTGAAACATTCACATTACAACGTCAGCAGGATGCCCCTTCTCACGACAGCTCAGAGGAGACAGCTCAGAGGAACCAGGCGCTAGGAAGACTTGAAGCTGGCCACACTGCACAGGCCGTTGTCAATCACTTCCAGGTCAACGTTCGGACCATCTACAGGCTGCAGCAACGTTTCTGGGCCACCAACACCACAAATGATCGCCCCGTACTGGCAGACCGAGGGTGACCACAAGACAACAAGACCGCCATGTTGTGCGACAGCATGAACAGAATCCATTCATGCAGGCATCCGAAACAGCACGCCAGACAGTGGGAACACACTGGAGACAAATCAGTGTCTGAATGGACTGCAAACGTTCACATAATGTCTTGGAATTATTCACATAATGTCTTGGAATTATTCACATAATGTCTTGGAATTATTTACATAATGTCTTGGAGTTATTCATTGATGTGTCAAGATATTGTACACAAAAAACTGTTTTTGATCCGCTTATTATGTCCATTTCTGTAATGATTTGTTTACAGTGCCTATCTAATTTTGAATTCGTACTAACGGGTTTTTTTGCTGCTGAGTATATAAACTAAGGGGCAAAAGCAACTAGTCCTTTATGATGAATTGCGTATTATTTTCATTTGAAAAAAACTTCAAGTTATTGTACCCAAAAAGGCGTAATCAGGAGATAACATACCTTTCCAGTCTAAAAAATAGAAAATCATTGTTTTGTTGGGGTGTGTGTGCGTGCGTGCGTGCGTGCATGCATGCATACTTCAATGATGCAATATCTTACATTAAAAAATCAATAAATCGTCATTTCTTGGCACAAATTTACATGGGTCATGTAGAAGCATATGCTTTCCTTACCCCAGTACTCCTTGAACAAAAATGTATTTTATAACATAATTACACAGCCACATGTTACTTTTCAAAATCCCTTGGTTAAATGAGAGACAGAGATTTAACAGCAGTTCTCTCAGTTCTCCTGCAGTAGGCAACCGGACAGGTTATGAGTATATATGGCTATATATTATGGCTATAATTTTAGCCAACTATGTACAGTACTGAGGTACTCAACATCATCTTTAGTTCCATCAGCAGTTAAAATGTGGAGTAATATTCCCTTAGCTATTAGAGATTGTGACTCTGTTGCATCATTTAAAAGTGAAAGAAAAATGTACAAGTAAATATTATTCATATGGAATAAGGAAATTAAATGTTTGGCACACAAGAATAAGATATATGACGAGCACACCTAAGTATGATTTATTTAGAATAAATGTAAGACATGACGCATCATGTCAATGTGGCCATGGATGTGAGAATGTTTTTCATTACTTCCTTGAATGTCCATTGTATCCTATTCAAAGAAATAAACTGTTAATAGCTTTAGAAAATATTGTTAAAAATAGAACACTGATTGGCATTATCTTATCTTACATGGCAACGCAGGTCTTTCAATTACTGAAAATCAGAATGTTTTCAAATACATGTATGTACATATCTATATCTCTCAAACAAAACGTTTTTTCAGTTCACTTTTGTTGTACATATCCTTGCCAATGTTTGTCACCTGTGTAAATTGTTGTGAGATGAGGGCTTTTTTAAGTTGGATAACTTGTGCCCAAGCCTTTTCTTGAATGAATAAAATATGTTTCAATCAATAAACACAATCAACCTCTCAGTGACAAACCTATTTTTATATTCGATAGTAGTTGATAATAAAAACAATTTTGATGAGAGAAAACAGATTCTTATTTAATCACAACAAAGTTCTACTTACACACAATCAAACTCCACACTAAGGAACCTGTTTCAGGCTCACCTTACTCAACTCACTAGACAGTGGACTGTTCCATTATACCCGTAGGTATTACCCTAATTAACCTTCTAGTTCAGTGACTGTCAATTGGGAGAAAACCCTCAATTACATTAAACATTAACAGGACATACTTTCCCTTGCCACTCAGTGTATCTTGGGAGGGAGGGCGGTGGGGTAGCCTAATGGTTAAAGCGTTTGCTCGTCACGCCGAAGACCCGGATTCGAATCCCCACATGGGCACAATGTGTGAAGCCCATTTCTGGTGTCCCCCGCCGTGATGTTGCTGGAATATTGCTAAAAGCGGCGTAAAACCCGAACTCAGTCAGTCTTGGGAGGGAGGTGTGTGTGTATGCATGTCATTTCAAAACCAATTAACATCCCCACCCCACTCACCCTACCCTTCCCATTCCCCTAATTTGAAAACTAATATTTTTAAAACACACACACTGTAGATAGCAAAGAAGGAAAATAATTGTGGTCTGAGGCCCTATAATCGTCAGCGAACAGCAAACGCGAGTTGTGTCCCTTTGCTACTTTCGGTTTGTCATTAAAAAATCCCACTTTTCTGTCACCTCGCCCGTGTTTATACCCAACAAGAATTGTTTGTTAACATGACCTTTATCCTCTGTAACGGTCGAGGTAGTTGTTCGAATCAAAATCTTTCTAAATATTCGCCCGGTCGGTCTAAAAGCTTCTTCCATAGTTGCACTGCAACGGAAAGTTATCAATAGTACTAGAAATCCGAATATGCATTGTGACATACATGTATGTACCCGCAATTTCTTGTGATATATACATCTACATATGTCTCACCGTATCAGGGTCTACACGATGCCACTTGGTGAACACGCGGAAATTGTGCCAACACAGTGCAGCAGTTCACAGGTTCTCGCTGTAGCCAGGGATACTCTACAACATATAGTCTCCCTGCTGTAACACGGGACACATGTTGACTCACTCGTCTCATTCCGGGACGCCCTTTCCGTAACCAATGAGATTCGGTATTCGGCTTGTACCGGAATAACACGAGGGGATCGCCTCACTTTGCCACCAGCAATGTGTAATGCAGTCAAGCTTGATGATTGGCATAACAATAGAAGTCAAATATCTACAACATCAAACTGAATCACATAAATATCAATTTATATGCATTATGTATCGATAGCAATCTTGGTGGGGTTAGGTTCATGACTGTGGATGTTGTTGACTGTTGTTATGAGGTCGTTGGCAGTGTTGATCGTGGCTGGACAAGTAGCTAAACAGCATTTCCAGTGTATGCTGGTGCCTTTAGTTCTCTTCACTTTGTACTTGAAACACTGATACACAAGGCTTCTGCCACCACGGCTGTTTGGAATGAACTCGATGTCAACCTGTGCATTTACCATTTTGTCATGTAGCATGTTATCATTCAACTCTGTATATAGTATCATATGATAACTAATCACCAGTTGAACAATTAAATAATACTAATTCTCTCATTAAATTAGTTTCATATTCATCAATTTAGTTAACATATCTCAGGTCATGACACTAATTGCAAAGTGAAATATGTTCACAAATTAGTGAGATTTTTAAATTCCACAGGGGGGATATCAGCAAGGTTACAAGCAAGTTCATTCTACAACTGGTAGACAGCCCATACACAAAATCATGATAGGACTCTCCATGCACCAATTCTTCACCTTCAGATGCTTTCATTTTTGTGCATCTATTTTGGGACTTTTTATAGCTGAAATAATATTCAGATTTCCTATTTATGACTAAAAACTCCCAACTGCGATTCTTAAAAGGTATTTAGAAATATACATTTGGATATTTAAGGTGAACAGCTGGTATTAATATTTTCAATACATCATTAGCATTATCTATGTTTAAAACAGGTTAACATCTCTTAAAAGCTCCAATAATATTTTATACTTTTGGAATTAAAACAAAAATAGAGTCGTCTTCTTGTTTGAAGTAGTCCAGATGTTCATGCGCCAATATGAAATCCTTCCAGAGGGGCACGAGTCGCTATTCGGCTTGTCTCGGAATAACACGAGTTTGTCACGAATGTCATCGATAGTGGGGCGAGTCTCCTTGGAGGTTACGGTGCCGAATGCTTTAAGAGTATCGCTATTCGGTTTGTCCCGAGAAAAACGAGTTGGTTCCGATTGGCCGTAATGCAGTCAACAGAAAGGAACAGCAATATCCGGATACTTGAAATGCAATACTTTCTTTGTTGTGGCAGTTCAAGATCTTCCACCCCTTTTGAACGCCATGATAAACAAAGCATCATTCTCTTGAACTGACACCTTGTCCGTATGAATGGTGACTGGACTTTGTCCTTTTAGTTGGGCATATTTGATGACAGTTTTCATCAACAGAGAATACTTCGTCACTTTCATTCCTGTTTGTGTGTTTGATTCAATGCAAGGTGATATTTGTATTGTGGGATACCATTAATTTATAAAGTTGTCTTCTCGGCTGGCACTTCTGGTCTAGGAATTAAGCCAATGAGGATGTTATCCTTCCAACCCAAAACAGCCGTTAGCAATTCGGAACACAAATTGCAAGACCTTTCTGTCCTGTCAACAAGGCTGCCAGAAGACATTGAAGGTCGTCAGCAGAAAGTGTCACAAGCAGAGGGGGTCACATTCCCATCCTCAACCCCTATGAGCCACTATCTCATTACAGATATATCCATAGTTGCGACAGGTTTTTATTGTATATCCCCTACTTTTTGTAACAGTTGTATGGCGTCACACATATTCAGGCGTTAAACCAATTTGGGAACTGAACCCATGACTTTGGAATGACAATCAAACACTCGAACTACTTGGCTCCACCACCCTAAAAGAAAGCATCATCGTGGAACCTTTGAATGTAAATTCAATAAACAATAAACAAACCATTTGACAAGTCTACATTTATTCCTGTTCATCTGTGACACAAGTCAGGTATGTACACCTTAGAAGGCATGATACAGCAAGAACAACAAAACCTTGTCATGTTGATGGCCTGTGAACCACTGGCACATATCCATACTTCCCAGACAAAATACCACGTTACTGAGTCATCATGGCCCCTAAATATATCAACAAAGGCGTATTTAAGCTATGAGACATCACTGCCTCAATACTTCCTGACATTGTCTGTCTTTGGATCAAACTGACCAGTAACAATGGTAACTCTACAAAAGTTTCTAAAGCTGCTAAGATTTATATTTACAAACTGAAGATTCAGTCCTCAAATATGAATAATCTTCTTACATTATTCTTTTCAGATTTGAGTCACATGATATGTCCTTTCACTTTCATGTTGAAGCTAACTTCCCGATGAAGACCTTTTCCAGACTGTAGCGTTTAATGCTAGTGATAACATAGGTTTACAACAGTCAACAAATGCCTGTTGTTACGGTGCCCTGGTTTGTACAGAGCTGAAGATTTCTAGCAGAATCATGTCCCCTCAGTTTTAACTTTAAAGAATGATCCAGTCGTTGAGAAATACTTCTGGTTGGCCTCCTGGACCTTCTTCTCCGCTGCCTGTGGGTTAACAATCTCCAAGCCCTGCAGAAGAGAAGCAAAACGTTAACAGAGTTAAACCTGTGAGTGAACAGTCTCTCAGCCTTGCAGACAAACAATAAGTCAATACAGTCATCGTCTCCACTTAGCAATATTCCAGCGGCAGTCTGTAAATAATCAAGTCTGGACCAGACAATCCAGTGATTAACAACATAAGCATCGATCTACGCAATTGGGATGCGATGACGTGTCAACCAAGTCAGCAAGGCTGACCACTGACCACCTGATCCCGTTAGTCACCTCTTATGACAAGCATGGGTTATTGAAGAGCAATTCTAACCAGGATCTTCACGGGTTTGTCTCCAGGGACTGCAGACAACGTTAAGCAATACATAAGGCCCATCCTAACAAAAGCATCATAGAGGTAACCCCTGACTCACCTGTAGAGGTGTGAAGGCCACACTGGAGGCTGTTCCTGCCACCTGTTTCTTCACGGTCGTGCTGCCTCCCCACACTGTGTTGGACTGCTTGCTCAACTTTTGCTGCAAACAAAATAATTTGTATAATCAACAGTAGTTGTTCCTGATTCAACAACTGTATCCCAGACTGGACTCAGCCTCAAAAGTACTAGAACCTGTACTTTATTGAGAAAGAATTATCTCAAATATGCTACATTTTGATACTTTTTAACATACTATTTGAGACATGTATGACTGTAAAGAAGATAATGGTTCGTACCAAAATAGGAAATGTTTATACACATTGCAGCTTGAAAGTGCCACAGTAGGCAACCAGTTGTTGCGTGCATGAACACAAGTAAGGATATCTTCAGGACATGAAAACACAGGTACAATATATCTACAAGGTCACATCATAATGATCCAATCCTTAGATCACTCATGCAGGGACACACTGTACCCTCAGCTACGCTACTCACACATAGCACATTACACCCAGCATAACATCTGCCCAGCATTCAAACAAACAGTCCAGGGATCACAGCAACAACCTGTCCTTAGGTGACAACCAGTGGCTCTGTTCCCAGTAGGACATCATCAACAGTATACATACTGCTTCCTACCCAGGGTGTGTGGTATACATGGGCAGCTTCTATATCAACCCTTAACAAGCATTGTCACTAAGGTGCCATAATCCCCCGTCGCAAATTATCAAATCAAACTTAAAAAGTAATGAAAGTTTAAGATGAAGTTAAATGTCAACAAAAACATGACCAGTCAACCTCTCTTGATATCTTGCTCTTCAAACACACAAATATTTTCAAGACTGACTTTGACCTTGACATGAATGTCATAGTGTATGAAATATGTAAAAGTGGTACTAAAAAAAATTGCTTATTGAAAAACATTCAAGGGAAATCTTGAAAGTCTATGAAGAAAATCCAGTGATTTCAGGTTAACATGCTGAAATCTGCCAAGTGTCGCAGTGACCTTGAATATTAAGTGAAGGTCACCAAAATCGACAGGGCCTTGCACTTTCCCTAGATGAAGCTTGGTGTCAAATATGAAGAAATCCAGTGAATGGTTCTTGAGGTATCTCGCTGACAAGCGTAACAATATGCTGAAATCTTCAAAGTGTCGCCATGACCTTGAAAATTATGTGAAGGTCACCAAAATCCACTGGACCCTGCACCTTCCCTAGATAAAGCTTGGTGTTGAATATGAAGAAAATCTAGAGAACAGTTCTTGAGATATCTCGCTGACAAGAGTAAAACGTTAATGTCCCCTTGTGACCTTGAAATGAATTTCAAGGTCACCAAACCTGACTGGGACCTTTCTTAACCTAAGATGAACCTAGGTACCAAATATGAAAAGAATCTCATCAACAGATCTTAAGATATTCCAATTCGTACGGACGGACATACAGACTGACGGACGGACGGAGCCTAATATTATATCCCAAGCTTCGCACTAAACGTGCGGCGAAGATAACAAGCTTGGCCAGATAACCAGTGGCTCTGTTCCCAGTAGGAAATCATCAACAGTTTACATACTGGTTCCTACTCAGGGTGTGTGGTATACATGGGCAGCTTCTATATCAACCCTTAGCAAGCTTGTCCAGACAACCAGTGGCTCTGTTCCCGGTAGGACATCATCAACAAAGCAAAGCTCCATAACATTTGGTAAGATGATACACCCATGACATACATTGCAGTTCTCACACACACAAGGGGATGTTCAGTCATGTCTATCTAGGCAGTGTGAGTTATGTACCAACCTGCAGTGTCTTGGATATCCTGGCTTTAGTCTTGGCATCGACAGGTGGACCTCGGATCTTCCCTGACGCTGATTTACCCAGGGATCCCAGAGAGAAACCAAGGTCATCTTGGTAGGCATCTTCTTCAATCTGACAACAAGGTGATACATTGATCAATACAAACACAATTACCATGACACCCAAGCCTGCTCATAATGCATTGTATGTATTGCAGCAAAGTTATTCTCATGTGTACTTGAACATTTCCTTTAAGTAATATTATGAATACCCAACTCAGACACATTATACGGACTCCGAGCCGACCAGTCTTGTTGTACCCATTAATGCCGAGCGCCAGGCAGGGACCAACAAGTACCATATTTTAACGTCTTTTGGTATGACGCAGTCGGGGATCGAACCCGCGACCTTCCGCTCTCCAGGCCGACGCTCTAACCACTACACCACGAAGGCGGTCATATGGTAAGGGAGGGGAGCTAAACTATATATACAGTATACCATATGGTAAGGGAGGGGGAGCTAAACTATATCTACAGTATATCATATGGTAACTAAACACTGCATGTCTTTATTTGAAATAGACAGATACTCCAACATTGACCTGGTGAAAGGGAATCAACAGGTCCACCTAGAACAAGCAAATGGAAGTCAGTTTGAATTAGAATAACAGTGGCTAGTGTCTGACTTGTGTACACTATAATGTTCTTGCTGTATACCAGTGTGATAATCGCGTTAGTACAGCACCAGTGAATCACTGATCTGCTGATAATATTATGTGGTGGGGCCTGACCTACAGTGTGTGGTCCAGGTGACTATCCACTCACCTCCCCAAAGTTCATTCGGTTCGTCTGTTTCCTCATCTCAGTCAGTCCCAGTCTCTCCTTCATCTTCCGTGCTCTGCAACAAAACTTGTTAACATCAGTCACAGTGTATAAACACCTGGGACAGTGTATAAACATCAGGTACAGTGTGTAAACATCTGGTACAGTGTGTAAACACCTGGAACAATGTGTAAACACCTGGGACAATGTGTAAACATCAGGTACAGTGTGTAAACACCTGGGACAATGTGTAAAAATCAGGTACAGTGTGTAAACACCTGGAACAATGTGTAAACACCCGGGATCATGTGTAAACATCAGGTACATTGTGTTAACACCTGGGACAGTGTGTAAACATCAGGTACAGTGTGTAAACAGCTGGGACAATGTGTAAACATCAGGTACAGTTGGTAATCAGCTGGGACAGTGTGTAAACCACATGTACATTGTGCGAACAAATTGGGATAATGTGGAAAATTCTAGTATATTGTGAGGACTGGGTACAAAATGTATAAACATAGGGTAGATTGTAGTAATCATGTACAATGTTTAACCATACGGTACATAGTTGTAATTGGGTACAATATGTATCAGGCACAGTTTGTTACAATCAGGTACATGGGTTACAGCCACATGACAGGCTCAGATGATCTTGCCTAATGAGATTCAGATGCAAGATGAGATGAGTTTTGACAGGCTTCACCATCTGATTAGTTCTATTGTGAAATTATATAACCCACTGGTTACTGTCCCAGCTCCCAACAAAACAACCAACCTCCGGCCTCCTCTCTTCTTGCGCCCTGGATCAATCGGAGCTGGGAGTGGCTTTACAAACTTGACTGGGGGCGGCTCGGTCATCTTGTCCAACTTCTGTTCAATCTCAGCCAGCAGAGCATCCCCTACGGTGCCATCCAGACTCTCATGGAAACTGTCAACCCGGGCTGCCAGAGTACATTTAGAGGACACCAGTCTCGCTGCCTTCCTACGCAGGTCCTGCCAAGCGAACAGATCAAAGGACTGCCTTGTATAGATACACTTAGTAACTAAGCACAATGTTGTTATACTACTGGGGTTTTTTTTGTTTTTCATGTTTATTGTACACAAGTAACACAAATTTGATCAGGCAATTATCACTTCTTTTGCATATTTTATGAGAAAACCACAGTTTATATAGAGCTGTGGACTATCTTATACAGACTGTTCTTTATGTAATGCTGAATTTCTTGTTTATTGTCACCAAACTTGACCCTCTGTCACCATGTCAGCAACAGAATGCATACAAAACATATCTATACTACTCAAAAGAGATTAAAGAACACTTGATTTTCCCATGTGACCATACTATTGCAAACTATGAACTAAGGGACCTTTCATAATTTATGGCTTGGGTGGGGGTGGGGGTGGGGGTTTGATGATTATTTTAAGGGGAGACATCCATTTTGTTCTGGGGAGGTGGGGGCATAGATTTTGTACACATGCACTGGTGGGTGGGGGGTTGTCACTTTGTACATAATTCTTTTTTTTCTCTTTTTTTTGGGGTGTGTGTGTGTGTTTCACATTCTACATGCTTTTCCATGCCACATATTATGAACAGTCCCTAAGAAAAACAGTATGTATCATCTTTACTTCACAGTTTGTATCAGTACAATCCAAGATTCAATCAGGGATCTTGTATTGACAACTGTACGACACAGCTGTGACTTACCGGCGGTGTTTTCTGTACAATCTCACTGTAGTAGATGAAACCTGTGTGAGGCAAGATGGCCGTGGTGGAGAAGCCAGACAGAGTCTTCTTCTGTGATCCAAGGACCAGGATGTTACAAGCCGGCATCTTGGACAGGTTGGTCAGACCACCCGCCACACCTGAACATCAACAACAAGACAGATATATAGGAATACCACTACTGAGACAACTCCATGTACAAAATCTGCTACCTGACACACAGAAACTCCTGTTAATCCACACAGCCTGCCTTGCCTATCTGAACATCAGTCTACTGAAACAACACTGTCAGCAATTTTCCAGCTATGTCATGGCAACCTGTAATGAATGTAAGTGACAGTCACATCAGTGACTGAAACCACAAGCAACAAGAGCTGTTACCTGGGTATAATGATCAGTTATCAGCTCAGTTACAGGCATCTGTATGATTCCCAGGGAGTTGAGATTGATAATGCGACATGCCGTTGAGATTGACATCCAGTGATCGAGCGAAAAAAACAAAGCACCTTTGAGCAGCTGAGCTGGATATCGGCGCTATACAAATGTGTGTGTGTGTGTGTGTGTGTGTGTGTGTGTGTGTGTGTGTGTGTTAGTGAGTGAGAGATGAGAGAGAGAGATCAGATTTGCTTGAACTCATAATAACTCAGTGCACTCAATGGCGGTGGGGTAGCCTAGTGGTTAAAGCATTGGCTCGTCACGCCGAAGACCCGGGTTCGAATCCCCACATGGGTACAATGTGTGAAGCCCATTTCTGGTGTCCCCTGCTGTGATGTTGCTGGAATATTGCTAAAAGCGGCGTAAAACCAAACTCAGTCAGTCAGTGCACTCAAGTTATGAGCTACAAAACAATCCATGTAGGGGGGTAATGTGTGAGACTCACCCATGAGTTTAGCTGCTACTGAGGCCCCAACAATGATGGACAGATTTGGGGAGATGAAGGACATCCTGGACTCTACATACTCAAAGATGCTGACCTTGCACTTGTGAAGATCAATAGCCTGAAGAAAGATGAATGTTGGCGTGTATAAACAGTGGACATATTCCTGACATCCAGTGGACCCCTTGTACAAAACAATCTAAACTTGCATTCTCGGGGTGCAGCTTATAGTAACAGTGTGTAGCTTGAGACTTGTAGAGACAATACAGATCGTACCAAGTTTGGTTTCTCACATATAGCTCCACAACATGGATACATTACGTGATTAATCAAGAAACAAACATTAAAGTCAATATATATATATATACTGTAGTCACTAAGACAGAACAGGAAGCCACAGCAACAAGAATCCACCATTCAGTTTCTTCTTTTGTCAACACAAAGGGAAATCACTCTGAGTTGGACACAGATCTAAGCAACTTGATAGGTTGAAAGCCTGCAACTAGTGATAGGAATTAGTTCTGTCTTACAATTTGGATGCAACTCGCTGTGTGCAATTTAAAATCGTTACAATTAGACTGTTCTAACATTGCAACCGTGTTTCAAGCTACAAGTTGTTACTACAAGATACACCATGAGAATGCACCTTTACTGTTTCAACTATCTTAAGTCTTTGTTAGAGAATGGGACTTACAATGGGTTACTTTGTGCAACTAGGCCCAGAACACCTAAATTCTCTAACAATTTTAATGTTGTAGCAGAATTCATCATGAGAGTTTATCATGCAAGTGTGTTCTGCAATGGCATATATCCTGAATCTCATCTGTATCTAACAGCAATCCATCTGTCAGCCCACTTGAGCGACTGTCAAAGAAAAGCTGCTCAAGTCAGTGAGACATCATATATGTTTAGAGTTTGCCTGTCATTACTTTACCAACTGCAGTCACATGTCCCATACAGCAACAAAATGAGACATGGTAAGATATTTTATTATATAAATGAGTGTGAAAAGTTGCAAAATTATAAATCAGTATTTTCAGTATTGTGCATATATAAATCAGTATGTTTATGGGCCTGGAATGATGGAACTACTTTCCTCCAGAGCTACCATCCCTGGAAGTTGCCTCCCTTAGTACATCTGCTGACAACGTCTAAGTCAAACATGCACATGGCAAGAAAATGCCAAAACTCGTTTAACTAGCTGGCATTTCCAAGGCATTTAGCATGTATGGCAGCAATAGACTATTCGTTTACCTTTCACATTTATGCAACAAAACACAGACATCAAGCTGTCTATAGTGTTCTTGTTTGTCTTTCATTTAACAAACATCCCACAAATCCAGCCTCTGATCTTTGTCATGATTGCCACAGTGTTGTTTACATGTATTAATGCGCGTTCCCATTTACACACCACAAAACACCTCTAAATATTATTTTGAAGTTTCTTGTTCTTCCCAAAATCAAAGATACATACTGGCAAACAAGGATACGTTGAGCACCGACCTGACAGTTGACCCATAGCAGCATGTACGAGTGCTGCCCACTGGTGCTTGCCATTGTTATCGAAGGGGCCCCAGGTTGTCCGCGATCAAGTGTAGTGCGAGTTGCTACACCGACGTGAGAGTCATATGAGCAAGGCGTATGCAGCTACACGCGGAATCAATTTCATCGTCATGCATTTCATGTGCACTAGTCTACATCTGCTCTTCCTTTCACAAACCAAATGGGTTTGCTCGTCGCCTACTTCTCGTAAATGCGTTCTCTGCGCCGGTCCAACTTGCCCTTGTTTGCCAGTATTTAGTAACATAATTCTGCTTGTTATGTGTGTTTTATTTGTTAAAGTTTTAATGAGTAACTATTTTGGGCACATGTGACAGAATACTGACTTCTGATGACAACTTATTGTAAAGGTTGCATTTTGGCATCAAAATATATATAATAAATAGACCATTTCAGATAAATCCAACAACTATATATTCTGGGAAAGACACACAACATGCAGGTGTCTACAAGAACAGAAACATGGATCCAGGAGTTTTTTGTTTCCAAAGATTTCTACAATTGCTAAAGGATAACTTCACACTGGTTTTAATATCCTAGATGAAAATTTTCAAATGATAACAGTTCTGTTTAGAACCTTGACAGTCAGCTGTGACTTGAACAACAATAGAAAAGAGACAGTGTATGTTTGTTAACACCAAAGACCCTTTTGTAACAACCTTTCGTATCAGCATATTGATCCATAAATGACAACAAAGGATACCAACTTTATTCACTGGCTCTACCCTGCCAGAAAACCTACCCTCAGAACGATAAAAATGGTTGCCTGCCTTTATGTATATTTTTCTCTCAAAAAAAAGTAAATGTTACAGTGCATTTCTAACTAAGACAGATTAGAAAAAGCAGTCATATGTATTCCTAACCAATACTAATTAAAACCACATCACCTTCATCATTTAGTCAACATTGGTACTAATGAGTACAATAAACTTATACCAGTGAATAATCTTACCATGTCACAAGCCTCCATTACAGTAGCAAACTCTTCAGTGGATAGAACTGATCTGGAACAATGACAAGCAAACACAATATATATCAGAAATTAAACTGATTTCATGTTGACAATCTTTTGCTTAATGCTTGATTCCTCCTAGATATTAACACATTATGAAATGCTCAATATATGCAACTGCATGTATTATCAAATCACTATTTACAACTAATATTATGACGATGTTATATCATTTGGGGTTGGCCTACTTGAGGGAGCTTGAATACTGCTGACAGTGCACAAAACAACATTTCCCCCAGTCAGCATATATCCATGGGCAAGTTAGGTTTAAGTTTAATTCATAGAGATATTAGTTTTGGCATGTTTTCTAGCCACTAATTCCAGAAGTGATGAAATGTATCAGAGTGTGCATCCCAGTTACCCTTGCGTGGTCGAGGCCGTGACACTGACCACCATAATGGTGGCCGACGTGAGAATCTCCTGCAAAACTTCATTGTTCTTGGACATCTCCAGAATATTGTTGCCAAGTTCCTGAATGATTTACAAAAATACATGCAATCATCACATTACAATTACAACATGCCAGTAATATACAGTTACTTGGAGAAGCGTGGGATCAATCAAACTAGGACTGAATGTGTAACCTTTGACTGAACCTCTCAGTGAAGAAATGTGCTGTATTTATTCCTAAATGTTTAGTGTGAATTACACTTTCTCAGTAACGTGTGGAAACAGTTCTTGTTGAGTGGGTTAGATCGCTGACTTTGTGTGCTTGCGATTAGGTGCCTGACTCTGAGTGTGTGGGATCGAATCCCAGATGGGCCTCAACCCAACAAAAGAACTAAAATCTGTACTTTACCAAGAAAGTGTAATCACAATCACAACATGTCACATTTGACCACTTTCTAAATGCCATTGTGTAATCACAAATAAACGTGTCTAAAAAACACTTCATATTTTTATCTGCACACAACGTTTCAGCACAATCACACCCTTATTCAACAAAATTCTCTCTCATCAGTACTGATCCATTATCAACACTCATCATATAAATAACTCAGTAACACTTGCTGTCTCAAGGACTTTGAGTTGATATGGTTCCCCTGTGGGTGTTAAGAGATGAAATAAGGATACAGCTGATATGCATGGCATGTGTGAGTGTGCATGTGCATGTGTGTGTGCGTGGCTGCTTGTACAAGTCTACAGTTATCATGCTAATGAGTTTCACAGAGCTGACCCACTGAGATACCATCCCACAGTATTAACATAAACACCCAACTCCGACACAATACACTGACTTTGAGCTCAGTACTACTGTTTTATCTCTTAGATAAGGCTGAGAACTGGCAGGCAACAGAAGGACCACCATGAAGTATGTTTTGGTCAGGGATCGAACCACTGACTATGCTGACCACATGCTGCTGACACAGGCAGTCAGGTATTAAGAAGTTCAACTGTATCAAAGATATTTTAATTAACATTAATGTTTGTAAAGAATCTTTTCACTGTCAACTAAGATGAGTCATAATTTTACTTTGACAGTGGAGATGTACTCCATCGGTGTCTGGACGAGGGATTCTAATTCAGGAAATCGTTTGGAGTAAAGATCTCGCACAAACTTGTGAATAACATCTGAAACATAAATATGTCACATTATCAACTTACCAGAGAACTGAGTCTTAAGCATTTCACATTTGATCGGTGTACAGTTACACAAGTGTTGAAGCTATCACCATATTGTACAAACCCATCAGAGTGAGTGAGTGAGTGAATTTAGTTTTACACTGCACTCAGCAATATTCCAGCTATATGGCGGCGGTCTGTAAATAATCAAGTCTGGACCAGACAATCCAGTGATCAACAGCATGAGCATCAATCTGCGCAATTGGGAACCGATGACATGTGTTAACTAAGTCAGCGAGCCTGACCACCCGATCCCGTTAGTTGCCTCTTAAGACAAGCATGGATTACTGAAGATCAATATTCTAACCCGGCCCTTCATGGGTAACAAACCCTTCAGAAAGCAAATATTGTCACACATCTATTTTTCAACAAACCCATTTAAGTCAGGTGATATTTTATGCTTTTTCATGAATCTGTTTACACTGTCATTGTGTAAGATTACCAAACTATGAAATGGACCTTTAAAACCAACAAATGTGGCAGTTTATAGGTCTCTGTTTGTGTATCATGTTTGCGCATGACCTGATTACCACTGAATAACAGTGACTGAAGCCATCACTATTGTTTCATAATGATCAATGCAGACAACTGTCTCTCGTAGCATTTAAAACAAATATCATACATCTGTCCTTCACGATTTAATATTGACCAATTTCTTTGGGAATCAAATGTTTCCTGGACAAAATGTATGACACAATGTGGCATTACTAAGAGAGAATAAATTGTGATATTTGTTCAAGCTATCCACAAGAAACCACAAATGTTAAGGAGATAGGCTCGGATAATAAGTTGATTATCATGATAATGATCACTTACTTATTTCATTGTCAATTTCCACTGTCATGTTATTTGCATCGACAATCAGCTTGTACTCAGGATTTGCTTCCAAGGGGCCAGCTACAAAAACAATCAAGATGTACCATAAGAACAATCATGATGTACCCTAGTAACAATCAAGATTGGCCGTAGTAACAATCAAGATGTACTGTAGTAACAATCAAGATTGACCGTAGTAACAATCAAGATGTATCCTAGTAACAATCAAGATTGACCATAGCCTAGTAACAATCATGATGTACCCTAGTAACAATCAAGATTCAGGGACCGATTTAAGGCTTTGTGACTTGCACTGGTGCAACCCACTATTACAAAGTGCAACCTAGATATTAGTCTAACTTGCACAAGGTGCCAGTCAATATTTGAGTGGTTAAACTTCTGAATAAAACATTGAAATAATTCAATAGCATATTTCTTTCATTATTCATTGCAATAAAAGCAGTGCAACTGGAATTTGTCTGGTGCAACTAGGTTTTTATCTTTGGTTGCACCTGGCTCAAGTAGGTTAACATCTCTTAAATCGAGCCCTGAGATTGACCGGCGTAACAATCAAGACATACTGTAGCAACAATCAAGATTGACAGTAGTACCAATCAAGATTTTCAGTAGTAACCAGCAAGATGTACCATAAAGTCAATCAAGATGTACCATAGTAACAGTCAAGATGTACAATGTTACTGTCACATGGCTTCTACAGGCTTCAAGAAAATTAGGAACATCCCAACCACTCTGTTAAAACCTTGTTCTTAAGCCATAAATATAGGGTTTTATTCCCCTCAGAATTACTTAAATTAGTTCCACTTTGACCTACCAAATGCTCACGAAAGGTTAATGTGGGCACACAATTGTCAGCTTCAGTATATTCACAATCTGCATTAACTTACCATAAAAGACAAAAATACGGTAAATGAAATAGATTAATAATTACGCCAAATTTATAACAGCATGCACAACAGTTGAATCATTCTGCCACTGGAAGAATACAATTTCAAAATTATCAAATACACAAGCTTCCATGATATATCACAGGCAGAAGCAGCTATCATATCTATACACAGTGATTATGGTTGTTGTTGGTGTTTTTTTGGTGTTTTTTTTTGTTTTTGTGGTTTCTTGTTGTTGTTGTTTGTTTGGTTGGTTGTTGTTGTTTTGTTGGGGTTGGGGGTGTGTTTTTTTTGGGGGTTGGGGGTGGAGGTGGGGTGGGTGTGTGCACAGGGGCTTGTATTGCTGAAAATAATACGTCCTGGGTCCTACAAGCATACACTGATATCCATAGTCATATAAAGAAGGAAAGGGATGTAACGCACACAAACTTGTCAAACAGCCCCCTCTCGTAAAGGGGCGAAATCTGGGTGGGACATTGTGAAAAACACAGCCGGGATTCTTACTGAAATAAAGCCAGATGAATTCCCTTTCGATTAAATCCAAAATTGTCAAAATCGGTGCACTATTGACCGAGTAACTTTGCTTGGAACTTCGAGGAAAGACAACTTTTCATTTATGCGCCAAAACCTGCCTCACGAAAATCATCGCCTCTCAGCCAAGAAATACTAGAAATATTTCAATGGAAAACACGCTAATCGGCTTAAAAGACATAACCTTTTCGTAATCGCTAGATATTTTAAGCATTACAACATCTCAAATGAAATGAGTTACTGATTGTACCTGCCATACCGACTTTATTGGAAAATTAGCGGTTTGAGTGATCGAGGCCACCATGTTTGTCCTTCACCTTCAATAGACTTCGCACCAACGACGAGAGCTACTCTCTGATTGGTTAAAAATAAAATACCACTATTATTTTTATTTCGGTGGCGCGATATTTAGGAAATAAAGTTCGTCCTCGTGCTTTAATTATAATAGTTAAGGGCAAAACTATACTTTATTACAAGACACATTGGGGTAGAGCGAACTTTATTTCCTAAATAGAGTAGCTTGTCGTTGGTGCTTGAGTCTATTGAAGGTGAAGGACAAACATGGTGGCCTCGATCACTTTCGATACATCGCTAATTTTCCAATAAAGTCGTATGGCAGGTAAAATCAGTAACTCATTTCATTTGAGATGTTGTAATGCGAAAAGCGAATATCTAGCGATTCTGAAAAGGTTATGTCTTTTCGCCCGATTAATGTTTTCCATTGAAATACTTAGTATTTCTTCACGAGAGGCGATGATTTTCGTAGGCAGGTTTTTGGCGTACAAATGAAAAAGTTGTCTTTTCCTGAGTTCCAAGCAAAGTTACTCGGTCAATAGTGCACCAATTTTGACAATTTTGGATTTAATCGAAAGGGAATTCATCTGGCTTTATTTCAGTAAGAATCCCAGCTGTGTTTTTCACAATTTCCCACCCAGATTTCGCCCATTTACGAGAGGGGGGTGTTTGACAAGTTTGTGTGCGTTACATCCCTTTCCTTCTTTATATGTATATGGATATCAATGTACGCTTGTAGGACCCAGGACGTATTATTTTCAGCAATACAAGCCCCTGTGTGTGTGTGTATGTGTGTGTCTTAAACAGTAATATTGTAATATCTGACCACTTTCCATCCTTGACTGTGATGAATATTTCTTGATATTGCTCATAATGTCTGCCAGTTCTTGACTGTCACGTAACTTTGCCACACTTGTGACACGTGTTGCTTGGATCTCAGGTTCCATGACAACATCTTCCACATCTGCAACTTCAGCAACATTCTCTCCATCATCTTGTTCCACATCCTCTGTGCCCTCCTCCAAGTCAGCCAGGAGCTCATCAGCAAGAGACATAGTTGGTAGTTTTTACTCAGTCACTACACCTTAGACGTTTCAAAATCTGGAAATAAGAAATAAGAATTGTTAAAGGACTCTCACTCTATTATTATTTAGTTTAGCGGATTGCGTTTGGACTAGCGACATTTGATTTGTTGTCTTAGAGCTTTGTCACTGAACAACTCATCATGTTAGCCTAAGATCTGCACTGTAACTGTCCCCATCACATAGTCAGTTATCTGGACAATGCCAAACATTTTAACGTAATGAAATTGCTACAAGTCAATAACATTTGTTACAAAAACGCCCCTTTGAGGGTTACAAACCGTGCAGAATCAACGTTTAAATTCACATGTGGACGACTGAGAAACGTAAACAGGTAAACTTCCGGTGTAGGTTTTTAATTCAGAGTTACTTCCCTTCCCACACCCTCGTGTAAGTCTAAAGCTGGGCCCCGTCTCGCATACTTTGGCGCAAGGAAGCCAGGAACCAGCTTAGTGTAAGTCCCGCGCATTCTCATTCCGGTGGACAACTTCCGGTGACAAACAAAACCAATCGGAGAACCGGTTACATAAAGCAGTTGCGCTGCGCCAAATACGTTCCTAATTCGCCCGCCAAGGAGAACATTGCCAAGTCGTTCTAATCGCGAGAAATTTCGAACGGTAAAAGCATGGTTATTTGTTTCGTGTTTGGGTGTAATCACCGGAGTAATCGGGATTTCTGCAGCTTTTTCAGGTTTCCGGCCAAGAAACGAAGCCTATGGGGTCGTCTGTCAAGGTAAGATTACCAGAGTAAACGGGTTTACCATTTTTTTTCTGGAGTCGAGTCGTCTCAGAACCTGTAATGATGCCTCGATGGATTGCAAAATGTTGAGTCTCCAATAGCAATTAATAATAAGCATAAGCTATACTGTCAATATGATCATGCATGTTTCCTTATATATTTACACAGATGTGTACAGTGCAATTATGATAAAATGTTTGAATTGATCTGTTACGCAATTAAAATCTTTCAGTGCTTTTCTGTTTAAGTTGAATGCTTATGAGTTCCCCTTGCCTTTTTCTCTCAATTTCTAAATCATCTTCCAAATTTTACAATGAATGAATGAAATAAAGAAAGAAAAAGAACAAAAGAAAGAAATACATATGTGAATGAATTAAAGAATAAATGATACACCCCGGCCACCCCTCCCAAACAATTTAAAGAACACAAAACTAACGCTAGAACACATGTGTTAAAGGTCACATGCAACGTAAAACACAACTTTGCAGATTCTGATTCCTTTCAGTATGGACTTACCGAAACAAAGCGTCAAAAATGCAAATTCAACTTATAAAGTTGAAAAATAACGCGATGAAAAAAAACGCGCGAAATCGGAGTTCAAACGTTTCACTAATTTTCCCCAGACTTTTCTGGGGAATACGGGTTTCAACAGCTTGGCTGCGCTCATAGCACGTGCGCAGTGAAATAGGTTCGCGCAACTTGGAAGCGGGCTGTCGGGTGAATACTCAGTGAAGGCTTTGGTGTGAGCCATTTTATAATGTTTTGTTGATATCTCACAGGCGCGAGCTTTTTATATGTTATGACAGTAAATAAACTGTTTATATAATTTCATTTGTCTATTTCACCACACGTTCTTCTTACCGATTCACTTTCTCAGTTAGATACTTAAAAGCAATGTCATTATTTAGCGTTGACACAATTTCTAACTGTGATAATGTCGCTGTCACAGACAAAACTCAATGTCTTGTTTTATTGACACCTGTGTGTCTGCCTGCCTGTCTGCTAATGACAATAATCAATACACAACTGCGATCACAGACCACATGCAATTTGAACTTAACACCAATCAGGCTATACACCATAAACAAAACGCATTGATTTATGGCCCGAGTTTGGTCTCTGTCACATTATGTAATTACACAGACAGGCAGGTGTGATAATTGAACACATGACATGTTATGATGTCTGTTGATTGCAAAATGTTATACACAAAAAATGAGCATGTATTTACAAAACCCAACATCTCTTTATATACACACACAATGAGCTGTGAAGGCGGCATCTGTTAATGAACCAGCCGTTACACTTGAGTGCACACCCGCTCTGACTGGGTTCGGTATCCCGGCTGCTTCGTTTCGAGGGAGGTAAACCCAAGTACAAAATATTGCACTTTTGTTCTTCGATTATACGCTTATAATTTTGTTTATTTGTTTTTCTCATAATCAGCAATGCATATTATATGTCATGAAGAAGTGATAATTGTGTTTTAATTATGTTTGATTTTTTGGTTGCATGTGCCCTTTACAACAGCTGTCAATTTCTTCTTTTTAAATCCACTATGAGTCTTTTTTACATTAGTAATTTAGCCTTCAGATATTGTCCTGCATGTGTGAAATGGCATGGACATTGACAGAATGTCACACACCCCTCAATTGGCCTCAAATACAGAAAGTTTAAAACTATCACAAAGCGTTGTAAAGACCTTTCCTGTTTTGTCAAATACTAAGATCAACAAGAAAGAAAGAAGTTTTAGAACTATAAAATCAAGCATCAATGGTGGATCAGAACAGATCGTCGATAAGTCATATTTTTCACACACATCAAATACACTCTAACAATTTTTCTAAAATTATAAAACTAACACTATTACTTGCAAACATCTTTCAACTGATGGTATATTCCCCTCATAAAAAATACAGGTGTATGTGAAAGTAGTTTTTGGAATAATAACTAGAAACACTCAGACATCGCCCTGTAGTATTTCAATGGCGGATCTGATCAGATCGGCAGTCTGTCATATTTTTCAGACACCTCAAATACACCCTAACATTTTTTTAAAACTTATAAAACTATCACCATTACTTGCAAACACCTTTCAACTAAAGGTATATTTCCCTTCTAAAAATTTAACAAAAGAAGTTTTTTATCGATAGAATTTAGTCTTTCTTCGCTGTGTACCGAGAATGGAAGCCAGTGAGCTACAACATGCCTACTTGAAACTTTACTACGAATCTACTGTACTAATGCTGACACTAATAACAATGATTTCACTTAAAATGAAGTGACAGTTGACAGAATAGGTGACTTTCCTTCTACCAGGTAGGTTTTCAGTTGTCACAACACTCAGCTCATGTAATCAGCTCTTGAAAATATATCAGGCTCAATCGTAAAACTTAAGCTGCCGCCATAGTGGCTAAACTGGTCACGTGACGACTCGAGGCATACCCAAAGAGGCTTGTTGAGGAGAGACCACTCACCGTCTTCTACTCTCTCTGGTTAAACGTTAGCGAGTAACAATAGAAAATAGTTATCAAAAGAAACTGAAACTACTTCAGCTTGTTCAGCTTGTTTTTATTTCATATAAACTATACATTCATTTGGGAAATGACTTCAAATGAGACAATTCAAGGAGAGAAAAAAATTATTGCAATAGTTGGTCGCAATAGACTATCGCTATCACTGATTCACAGTAGCATGTTGCAATAGACTATCAATAGCCATGATAGTTGTTTCCCCTTCAATAGTCACCCCTAACTACAAGTACCATGCTGACTAGTAGGCCTATGCAAACCATGCTGTTCATGTATTAACACCTATGTAGTTTGACAATTAATGGATAATTCTTTGTCAATAATTTGAATCAAATGATTTTTTTTATAGCCATAGGATTAAAATATAAAAAAGTCACTACACAAGATCCATAACATGGTATGTAACTCAAACCTCAATTTAGTACTGTAGTACTTCAACCTTAATTGTGGATTGGACTTACTAGGTTTTACTTGTTATTTTAAATTATTCTGTAATTGCAGAAGGGTCGACAGATGCCCAACATCCGAAAATGACAGGATTTGTTCATGTCATTTTGAAGGTGGCTCAAAGGATGGTGATCCAATATTTTTCCCCCACAACAAAGGAAAACTGTTTCAGTTCAAGGATCCCAAACCAAGGAGGTATAATATTTTGCAATTAAGACATACATTTGCAATTTAAATATAATCTATATTTATATTTGTATTTATACTTAGGGCTCCTTGCCTCTAGGCAGGAGATCTATTGTAATTGTTCGATATTATTATTATTATTTTACAGATTAAAGATAGTATGCAGCAGAGAGGGTTCGAGTGATCCTGGCACAGTCAGGCTGGTAAGGCTCATCATCAGCTCAGGGCCCTCGCCCCCTCTACACGCAGCCCAGACAGCGAATGGGACTTTTCCCAGGAAACACTGCCTAGTCGAACCCACCAAGAACTTTCCGGAGAATATGAAGGGTCCCCAACACTGCAGCCCTCTGCATTACCCAGAGTGTCAGAAGGGCTGTGCTCCCGGTGGAGAACCCGGGCACTCTCCTGATCTGCGCCAAGAGATCAGGAGGTACCAAACCAAGGGCACCGAGAACAATGGGGAGCCTGACGACAGTGTACTTGGGATGCAAGCGAGACATTTCAAAGGCGAGGTCCGCATACTTAGTATGCTTTTCCTGAATCTTGCGGTAGACGGTAGTAAAAGCAACGAGCCATGCCATCATGTCTTTTTAGATATGCTGTTTGTGCCAAAGAAGGGCATCCACTGACAAGGTGTTGGACAGTCTCTGTAAATTCATTACACAGTCGGCATTTCATGTTAATATTTTCTTTAAGAATCACATTTTGGCGATTGAGAGTGGGAAGTGACTGGTCCTGAGCAGCAAAAAGGAAGCCCTCAGTTTCACATTTGAGACCAGCCGACTTCATCCAGGCGAAGGAGTCGGTGGGATTGCTATTCTGTTCCACACACTGCATGTACACATGATGCAATGGCTTCTCAGAAAGCTTCTCCACAAATGACCGACTCTGGGCACACTTGGTAAAGGACTTCACCTGGTTTACTCCCATCGCTGTACCGTTCAACAGTACACTGCCTTCAACAAAATCAACATCAAATTTCAGATTCTGTCCAACAACTTTGGCACACTTAAAATAGCTGTGGAATTCCTTGCTTTCATCATGAGTCATCACATGCATCACCAGAGGATCATCCGATAAATAAATATGTGCAAAAGTACACAATAAAATTCTATCATGAAGAGCCTCCACATTAATCAAACCCCGACCACCAGAATTGATTGGCATATATAAACAGTTAAGGGAGGAACGAGGGTGGTGGTGGGCTCTGTTATCAGAAATGATCCTTCTGGTTAGGTGGTCAAGACTCTGGATGTCTTGTTTTGTCCAATCAACTACTCCAAAGGAATAGGAGAGGACTGGCACAGCAAAAGTATTGGTGGCTTTGACCTTGTTTCGAGCATTTAGCTCTGAGCTCCAGATTTTCTTTGAGCAAGGTTTGTACTCGGCCCGAAGTTTTTCTTGAATTTGGGCACTCTGGAGCTTGTCTCGAACTTGCATTCCAAGATTGGTGTAGGCTTGATCTTCCACAAGATGCTAAATAACTCCTCCCCCCCCTGTAACTTGACTGATCAACCATTAACTGCCTTGCCATGTTTCAAATGAAGAGTATTACATTTGTCGAGTCCAAATGTCATGCCAATATCTTTAGAAAAGGACTCGACATGGAGAACCTGCTCTTTCAAATTGGTATCTCCTTTGGCAAGGAGCTCGATGTCATACATGTAAAGGAGATGAGTAATGGAGATGGAGGTCCAGATATTATTCCGCCGATTTTGTACCAAACATACCTCCTAAACCAATGCTCCGAATCGCTTACAAAAAATCACACAGATGCCCACCTGATATTCCCCTTAAAAATCTCTAGGCTCTAGGCCCAAAAACAAAGGGGAGATAATTCAAAATTGATTCCAAAAGTTCAAAGTTTGACAGCAAATATCTCAAGAACTAATTGTTCCAACACTTCCAAATCTCTTGTTCAGATGCACAATCGAATTCCCAACAATTTTGCCTGGACAGGTCAAGTCACTAAAATGTACCGTGTTATGTTTGTTTTCAGTTTTTGGCCATGTTTTTCAGCAGTTTTCTTAGTAGTTTGCTCCCAAAATGTGCTGAGCTCGAACCATCAGCTGTAGACATTCCAAACTTTCCATAACTGATGTCCAGTAACCATTGTGCAAATTCTTCACAAAAAGTGCCAGGATTATAGATGAAGTCTTGGTTATTCCAGAACAGTAATTGTTTTGACTGTAGACCAAAGAACAACTGAGATACCGCCTTTTAAAGAGAGAACTATTTCTTCTCCGGATCTATTTGAAAGGTAAATGAACCCCGCGACCCCAGCTGTATTTGGAAGATCCACTCGCCTGTCAAAAACGTGTTCTGGCTCCATTTTGGACAATTTCTAGCCCTCAAATACAATTCCAACACCCGTAACTCTGAAACCAACCATCTGATTTCGACACAACAGAGGGACAAGTGAAATTATATTTTCCTTACCCTTCTTTAGTTGCTATCTTTAGAGAACACAGTGAAAGTTAGCCGTATGTATCTCAAAAGTTAGCTGATCAGTTTCTGTTCTTCGGTGCATGTGAAAAGTATCACCGTTTGGTACATATCTTCTTCATGATTGTTAGAGGTAATTAAGATACCTGTTTGAACAAAGGGTTCTTCTGTTTTGAGATCCATGATACCCAAGTGATATTTTTTGATCTAAGAAAAAAGGTTTTGTGATGAATTTATTCGACTAGCAGTGATGTTATTCATATTAACTAAAACTATTACTACTTTCATCAGATATGTGAGACACAATAGGCTAGATAGAACTAAAGCCAAGGAGCCCTGATCGTTGCTTGCAACTATATTTATGATTATTACCGGAATATAATTTTCCTACAGAAAGAGGAGTGTGCCTTTGGAGTGCAGTGATGTACCAGCAATCCCACTGGCTCAGAGTCCTGATGTCCCAGCTGAACCTGAACACAATGGAAGGACAGATGTAGTAAGTATTGTGCATGTCAGTATTACTCAATGTTTGTTATCCCCCACAACGCGTTTTGCAGGGGGGGGTATTAAAATGGACTCCCTGCACATTTGTCTTTTCCGGAGCAGAACTTTAAAACCGTTCAATATTTCTTCACCAAACGTGGCACATAGGTTGGACTGGTGGTGTACTGGTGCCTTTTGATAGTTTTTGGAATTCTGAATAAAATATTTTTGGCATTTCCATGGCAACAAGTTTGACCTAGATTGAAATTGGTGGTTGTGCTCCTTTCTGGAGCAGAACTTTAAAAACCTTTCAATAGTCTCCTTCCACTTTTCTATATGCACATCAAAACATTTGACATAATCATAACTCGTAGACATATTCATGAAAAGTATTTTGCCATTGCGGGGGATATTGATGACTTTGTCTTCTTGTTTAAAATTCATATAGCACATTATAATCACTAATTTGATTATTTTGTACCTTTTTAGATGTTTGTGCTGAATTTATTGTTCCAATACCAATATTTGTGCCCTAGGTTATGGAACATAGTTACGCCATACAGTGTGGACACCAGTGTGTGGGGAAGCTGACTTCGTTAACCGCAGAAGTCCAACACTTGAAGGCCACCATCAAGTCTCTGGAGCAGGAGATCCGTTCCTTAAACCGAAGGCGTTCAGCCTTTTCTATCAACGATATAAGTGACAGTGAAGAAAAGGTTGGTTAACAAATAATATATTTAAACAGTGTATATATCATAATTTTTTCTTGCTTTCTCATTTATCTCTACTGTACCCTTGGCACTTAAAAAATGAAAATAATGGGAACTTAATTAAGTCACTTGTAGCTCACTTGCACACATAAAAAAGACACACTTAAAATATTGCTGTTGCATTTAACATGGTTGTCAACTTAATTGTAGTGGCAGCATAATATTGTTAGCACACCTGAAAATAATAATAGGTATGTATACAATGTAAGCAAACGTGTGTGGGGTGGGTGGGGTGTTTCCACTAAATAAATGTTTATAAGTGTTTAGGTAGGAAGACTTTTGAGGACTGGGCACTAAATATGTTGTATACAGTAAGTAATGGTTGTGAATTTGTATTTACAGATGCAACTCTACACTAACCTATCCTACGAAGTCTTCAAGATCATCTGCTCCAGGCTGGAACACTTTGACCTCAACTACCATGCTGGATGGAAACCTTCAACTATATCCATGGAAAATCAGCTTTTGATAACTCTCATGAAACTTACCATGAACTGCAAAGATCTTGATTTGGCCCAAAGATTTGATATCAGCCGTGCTACAGTTTCCAATATTTTCAATACCCTCATCCATGCTTTACAAGAACTCTTTAGCCCACAATCGGAATCTTTGAGGTTACGGAAAGGGATGAGTGGGGGCCACACTCCTTCTCAGCGTGGGACATCGCTGCCATGAATGTATGTCTTCAAGAGTAGAAAGAATGAAATTAATTTCCTGCTCAAAAAGTAAACTTAATGTAATTAATTCTGGAAGCGTCCGTTTGCAAGCTAATAAGTGAATGGTGGATTAGTGAGTTACAATCCAACTATATCAAAAAAATGATTTAAAAAATGCTTCCTATAAATGCAATCAAAGATTACTCCTATTCAGTGTTTGTTTTCAAGGTGGGTTAATGTTCTTATTTGTGCCATGGCTGAAACTATACCATTGAACATTATAATTTGGGAAAACAAAGCAGTTACTGCTGGAACGAACTAAACGAACCTCTCGAGCAGTATAAATAATATTGTGTGGGACTTAATGAAACCTTGCTTGGACAACAAAAAACGACCAGGTTAGTTACAGTACGATTATACAGGTAAATTTTCAATTGTCTATTCTGTTAAGGTGTATTAAATCGCTGCTTAAAATAGACCTAAGTGCTTCTGATACAGGTGTAGAACAAAGAACTGATTTCAATGAGATTTGGGTAAACGTGTATGCCACTTGATACTTGTGTAGAAATTTTGACTTGCACAACATGTTTGTAAATCTAGGTTTGCAATAACTGAACTAAGCTAACGGAAAACAACATTCTTACAGAATGTGAATTGATTGTTTGTCTTTCACCAAAATGTAGTACAATGTATTCATTTTGTTTACCATTACTCTCCATGATATCATCGTACTTGAAAGAGGTACTCTCGATTTACTGAACACTTTTAAAAGAACAAATACATTGTTAGCTGAATTCAGGAAGGAAAATATACCTGAATTAGCCGGGAACTGTCACTGGTATGTGTTCCACACAAACACAGAACTAAAGTACTGTCGGAAATGCTAGAAAAATGCTTTTTGACTTATATTTAAAATTCAGAGGTATGACAGTTACTTAAATAACAAATATCACTTCAAGAAACATCTACCTAATGTAGACCGAGGGAATAAATTTTGAGACATGCTCTAAAATGTGTTTTTACTGATGAAAATACCAAAAACTTAAGGGGTAGTGGGACGTTATTTGATACAAACATTAACTGCCTGTGTTACGTCATCAGCATGCACGGTATGGACAGGTGAAATTGACACCTGAGCACACGCTCGGGCGAGGGGTCATCACAATAGATGTTTTCTTCAAAATGTTGAATATGTGTACGTAAAGTATACGTATCGGTTATGTAAGGGATCATTTGTGTATGTGTGTTTGTTTTGAAATAAACATACGAATTACTGTACATTGGAAAGAATCCTATCACTTGTGTTATCTTATCGATTGATTGTAGAAAGGCGCAACGTTTTAATAAATGTTTTGCATGTCAACAGTATATTTTATTGAAAAAATATGGATGTAATTCGGTCAGTTTAATCTAGTTGTGAATATTGGCCAAAGATTTAACGAAGTCACTGGTGTAGCTTCTTTAGAATATATATATTATTCTTCTCATAAAGTTTGTAGACCGCCCGTCTAAGCACTCCCTTGTCAAAGTTGTCAAGGATGGTTTTCCGTCCCGGTTTTGCATTTGAGACGGTCCCTGTCTTGTCTGATTTGTTTACAATATTGTAAACTTGTTCGTAAGACATGCCAACAGCTCTACAAGTTCTGTAATAAACCCTTTCTAAACTAATGAAAGGTTTACCTCTGTCTTTTTTATGCAGAAAAAAACTATAAACCTTTGCAACAATCGACTGCAAATCGTTGGCCATAGTGGACGCTGTGATAAAGATGTGCATGCATGACGGGAAACTTATTTATCAAGACTTAACATTTATATTATATTTCTTCAATGAAGAAACGATAATTAAGTAAAGTAACACAAACATTCAACATTTATTTGTTTAAGAAACACGTTAATTCATATTTTTACACCACCTGTATTATTAGCATAAATGTAAAGACTATTTCAGATTTCTGTTGTTGAACTCTGAAAAAATCTTAAGTTGCTGTTTTGGTACCAAATTCTCTCCTGTAACCTGCCCTTTAAATGCATGGGAGTGTTAAATCGGTTGAAATAAAAATTAGGTAGACAATAGACGAGTTGATATATTGACAACATAGTACATTTATCACCTTTATAAAGATATTAAGGCTAAAACGCATTTTTCTAGCATTTCCGACAGTACTTTAATTTCATGTAATATGGTTATGGTATCAGGGTTTATTTCACAGAATAGGTCTGTAGCTAATCCTAACATAACCATCAATTATCACGTATTTTACAATACTCATAAAATGTGCGTTTGTACTCCCAATTACACGTGGTTATTTAGTCACAAAATGTTGTTGTTTTTCTTAAATTTGGCAAGCAATTCGCCAAGTCAATCCACGCGGGACACGAAAATACCCAACATGCCTCTGACCTACTGACGTTTGTATCCGAGGCGGGCTTAAAATATCACAAGAAAAATCATCCGACGAAAGTGAACGACATCTCCAAGTGACATAACGCAGCATCCTAAAACGCCCTTAAATGGTTCCATCATACACAGATGAAGGAGAAGAACATATTACTATTATTACAAATAAGATTATCTGTTAATGTATCTTGCCTTTCAACTTGCATCAGACACTAAAATACAAACCCTGCCCTGCTGAAAACATATACTGAATGAAAACATTGTGTAGTTCGAGGGGATTTCGTTAACTTGTAATACAAGAAATACCCACGAAGTATAACGATGTCTCCGCGTGTTATGAAACGCAGCGCTCTACATCCTCCCAATACTACACATAGTCGGATCCAGAGGGGGGTGCGCGCACCACCCACCCCCCTTCCCCCCTTTGTGCTGAAAGTTTGTTAAATGACCATTGAAACTCAGGTGAAAATGAAGTGTGCACCCCTCCTTTTCTCAATAGTGTGCACCCCCCATCCCCCCTTTTCTCAAAAAGCTGTATCCGCCTCTGCTACATCCTTGATACACCTATTAAAACGTACATCAAACGTATCCGTCTTTCAAACCCATAACCTATGCACTTGCCCTTTATCTACGCACCGATCTTTTAAATGGTCCACTGCCTGATCTAACACCAGTCGACATGATCGCCGCAGTATAAAGCAATTTGCTGGAGAACATGTCCGTACCCGGGCACTCTTTAAACGAAAAGGGTGCAGTTATTTTTTTGGAATATCGTGTAAGGTAGATGAAAACCCGACTCAAGCCGGATGCTTTGGTGAAGGAGTTATACTGATCTCATAGACACTTTAACTTGTATTATACAATTATCGCCAAGAAATACCCCGCTGTACTTCTGTGTTATCCGAGTAGGGTATTACACAAAACAAGTCAAGGGTCATGCAATGTCATCATGTAATGTTATTGATGAGGCTGGTTGCATTATGTAAAAATAAAATTTTACATTCCGTGTATGGCAGTTTATTCAAAACCATTGCAGAACCTGGATAAAGGCTGCAGATAACCGTGGTGCCAATAGTCATCATGTGGTAGGGTGTTAAAAAATGAACAAATTGAAACATCGAGTGCTTCACAGAAGCGCCACCACTGTGCGTGTGAAAGATGATGTTTCATCATGAACAACATGTGCACGTGTTCTTCGTGGGATTAGTGCTGTGCATGCTTATTTTCCCTATAAAACTTGTAATTGTCGCATTGTTATTGTCACTTGAAATTCAACAATGGCAAGACGTCAACTGAGCATGACAGACAGAGGAAGAGCTCTTGCGTGGCTTCAAGATGGCGAACCTCAACGCAGTGTGGCTCAGAAACTAAATGTGAGTCAGAGTGTCATTGGAAGGTTATGGCACCGGTTTCGTGTCACTGGAACGCTGACTAATCGACCACGTTGTGGCAGGCCTCCATAAACTACTCCTAGAGAAGACCGATACCTGACAAATATGGTTCTCCCACAACGCAGAGTAGCTGCCAGACAATTCCGTGACCAACTGAGAACTGCCACAAGTACCCTGGTATCTGATCAGACTGTCAGGAACCGACTGACGAGGAACAATCTTCGGGCACGGTGACCAGCAGTACGACCACCGCTCCTTCAGCGACACACGACGGCAAGACATGACTGGTGTAGATGCCATGTTCGTTGGCAACGTGCTCAGTGGGCATCAGTTCTTTTCTCCGACGAGTCTAGGTTTACTCTACAGTTCAATGATGGTAGAACTCGTGTGCATCGGCGTCCAGGAGGGAGGTTTGCTGACGTTAACGTCAACCAACGTTTGCCATTTGGAGGCGGGGGTGTCATGGTTTGGGGTGCGTTTTCCTTTCATCAAAGGACACCTCTCTATGTCATTAATGGTACCCTGACCGGAAATCGCTATCTACGGGAGATTATCAGACCCCTTGTTTTGCAATGTTTACAACGTACCGGCGTCGGATCCATATTCGAAGGTGGCAATGCCCGACCACACCGTGCCCGTGTTGTGACGGACTTCCGTAGACAGAACAATGTTCAGCACATGGAATGCCCGGCATATTCAGCAGATTTAGCCCCTATGGGACATGCTTGGGACGAGCAAGGACGTCGGCTTCGTAACAACCACGCCCCTCCAAACAACCGTGCAGAACTGGCCCAGTATCTCATTGCAGAATGGCAGACAATACCCAAAGCCTTCTTCCAACGTCTGGTGAACAGTATGAGACAGAGGTGTACTGCTTGTCTTACTGCTCGAGGTGGTTACATCCGTTATTAGTCCAATGTTGGCGTTTGAATTTTCACTTCTGACAGTAGGTCACTTTGACCTTATTGATCAGCAATCACTGACATTCCTGCTGTTTTTGTCTCCCGTTATGGTTATCATGAAATGTTGGCTCGAGTTGTTATATGATCGCTACATTTTACTGTTATTTATATTTGTAGTTATGGCCATTAAAAGTTTTGACCCTTAACTTGTTTTGAGTAGTATATTGGGTCTACGTACACGGGATACGACAAGAATCAGTGATTGTCACCATGAACATGGGTCTACGTACACGGGATACGACCAGAATAAGTGATTGTCATGAACATGGGTCTACGTACACGGGATACGACAAGAATCAGTGATTGTCATCATGAACATGGGTCTACGTACACGGGATACGACAAGAATCAGTGATTGTCATCATGAACATGGGTCTACGTACACGGGATACAACAAGAATCAGTGATTGTCATCATGAACATGGGTCTACGTACACGGGATACGACAAGAATCAGTGATTGCCATCATGAACATGGGTCTACGTACACGGGATACAAGAATCAGTGATTGTCATCATGAACATGGGTCTACGTACACGGGATACGACCAGAATAAGTGATTGTCATCATGAACATTGGTCTACGTACACGGGATACGACCAGAATCAGTGATTGCCATCATGAACATGGGTCTACGTACACGGGATACGACAAGAATCAGTGATTGTCATCATGAACATGGGTCTACGTACACGGGATACGACAAGAATCAGTGATTGTCATCATGAACATGGGTCTACGTACACGGGATACGACAAGAATCAGTGATTGCCATCATGAACATGGGTCTACGTTCACGGGATACGACAAGAATCAGTGATTGTCATCATGAACATGGGTCTACGTACACGGGATACGACCAGAATCAGTGATTGTCATCATGAACATGGGTCTACGTACACGGGATACGACCAGAATCAGTGATTGCCATCATGAACATGGGTCTACGTACACGGATACGACAAGAATCAGTGATTGTCATCATGAACGTGGGTCTACGTACACGGGATACGACAAGAATCAGTGATTGTCATCATGAACATGGGTATACGTACACGGGATACGACAAGAATCAGCCAAGTCAATGATCATGACTATTCGATCCCGTTAATCGCATCTTATGACAAGCATGGACTGCTGAAGAACATTTTTAACACTGGTTCCAAATAATATGGATACAAATAGACTGACAGCAGACTTTCTATTGTAACTAATGAAGTCAATGGGCCAAGGACAACTAGACGACGATCTAATTATGTGTTCATCAGCTGTCTGGGGGTTCCGACAGCCGCATGACAGATAGTCTTGTCGAGTGAGTGTCCAATTACAACACTGAACCAACGTCCAAACAACTGCCAATCACGCCAAGCCCCTCCCCACATCGTCAAGATGCAGACAGACGGGTAACAACAGTCGACATCGTCATTTCCTTCCTTTGATGTTTCAGGGGTCAGTTCTAGGGTACAGATCGAGCACCTGGGTCTACGTAGGGAGCGATCACTAAAGGATAGACCATTTGTTGTGACGGTGGGGCTTGGGATTGGTTATTCTTTAAATAATGTACCTTTCCAGAAAATACTATTGATTTCACAAACAATACATTGTTAATTAGGGATGCTGGATGTTCTTGAAAATAACAACATATTATCAAAAAAGTTAAAACCATATTCAGTCTCTGACAAAAATCCCAAGTTACAGCGCCGTAATTGATGCATTGGTTTTGAAGGAACTTACGTGTGTGTTCTACCAAAAGGCGTCAGTGTCACAATCCCTGGAGTAAAGCTTGCATGCTGGATATACAAACGATTACGTGTATCACCTGAGTGAGTGAGTGAGTGAGTTTAGTTTTACGCCGCTGTATCACCTGACAGTCGCCATCACGTCAGTGAGTTTAGTTTTACGCCGCGCTCAATAAAGTGTGTGGATGTTGACAACGATAGCATGGCATAGGTGTTTGAATAGGTCAAGAATATTTAAAGAAATAAGTGTCTATTTTTAACAAAAATGAGCAGCGAGTCGATGGGGAATATAACACTTAACAAATATCAAGGCGTCGTCTTAATATTTACGTTTTCCCTTTTTTGTATAAAATAATCTTTAAATATGAATTAAAATACCGATTTAGAATTGATGATGATGTTTAGATATGTATTTATATCTAAAAATCGAATTGGTGACATGACTTTATGAATTGCTCGTATACATATACTTAATCTTTTAATAAACAGCAACACCGCGCCCCAAAAATATACGGTGAAGTCGTATGTTTGGAATGGTGGACACACATGGTATATGAGTGAGTGAGTTTGGTTTTACGCCGCTTTTAGCAATATCACGGCGGGAGTCAACAGAAATGGGCTTCAAAAACTAAACCTGGGTGTTTGACATGACAAGCAAAATTCTTAACCACTAGGCTATCACACTGCCCTGAAAATGTAAGAATTTGTTTCAAATGGCTGAACATATGTTTGCTGCACAACTTATTACGTACCAGACTTAAACGGTCGACCGTCTTTGCGATAAGGATGACCCCACTTGACTTAAAACTCACAATACCAAGATACGAGGAATTACACAAACATCTGCGTGCTGAATTTCGCCGGAACAAAACTTAACTATTCGCGTTCTTGTTGGGTATTCTGACTTCGTGGTGCTGATTTCCAGAGGTAGGCCCACACTTTATATAATCTGGGGGTAGGGGAGTGAGTTTAATTTTACGTCGCACTCAGCAATATTCCAGCTATATGGCGGCGGTGTGTAAATAATCGAGTCTGGACCAGACAATCCAGTGATCAACAGCATGAGATACGATAACATGTGTCAACCAAGTCAGCGAGCTTGACCACCCCATCCCGTTAGTTGCCTCTTACGACAAGCATGGGTTACTGAATATCAATCAATTCTAACCTGGATCTTCACGGGTTGGGGGTATAGATATAAAGGCAAGACACGTCTTTAAGATATCATGATGCGACGTATAAATAACAAAACAAAAATCCGTTCTTTATATATTATTTATTGTTACTCGCTAACATTTAAAATATACACAGATGGAGAGTAGTCTAGTGGTTTGCGTTTGCTCATAACGATGTTTGCCCGGGTTCGATTCAATTCAATTTTAATAAGCTGTTCAACATGTAACTCAAAAAGGCCTTGGCACTTGCTTTCTCTGACGTCCAGCAACCGCATGGTCTACTTATAACAGGATTTTCTTTTCATTTTATCTTTAATACAACGCGTAGTTCGAAATCGGTGCGTTGGACTTCCAAATAATGGGTCTTTACAAGCCAAACATGGACTTTCTAGCCTGTACTCCGTGTGTTATCTCCCTTTAGTAATAGGAGGGAGACCAGGGGGCGTTGTAAACTGTGTCACAGGTAACTTTGACAGGCCACTCAGGTGTATATGTCAGTGCGCCGTAGATACATATGGTCTGTCATGGTCTGTTAACTGTGTTAAAGTGCGTACACATCTTTCAAACACTTTGCCAACCCAGGCTTGGTATATGATATATGTTAGTTGGGAAATCGTGCAGCGGTGAACATTCTAGCACACCTGAAGAGGGGGTTACCTGTGTGACGGAAAAAGTGGTTTTCTTTCTATCGTCTGTGGATGTTTACATTACATGTGAAGTCGTAGTGGTCAGGCCTACCCCTCAATTATTGCGGCGTTCTCGGAGGCTCGCGCCGTGGTTTATATCTTTACGACACATCTAGTGCTTGGATATTAGCGTGTTTATCTGGGATGGAAACTTGTTAACCTCGCCTAAACGTGACACGTTCTCATTGCAGTATTTCTGCTCCGGTAAGTTCTATCAGAACTGTTTAACTGCCGTCTGCTCCTCGCTTGCTAGTACGTTTTTTACAACATTGGTTCCATATGTTTCTTTGACTTTTGTTACTTTTTCTTATGAACCTTTTGTTGTTCTTTTTAGGAATTTGATTCATGATTCGTGCTTGAATTTCTGTGTTTACTAAGATGGATTTAAAATGAGAGTATTATCACGAAGTGGAGCAGATGGCATGAAATCTTTGGGAAAGAGCTCCTTCCGATCCCCCAACTCTAAACCTAACCCTAAACCTAGCCCTAACTTAAATTTTGGACTTTTAATCATTTTGTGAGTTCTCTAGTAATTGTTGTGTTAAGTTTTGTTTATAATTCTAGAATATTTATACATATTATTTGGGATGGGGGAATGGGAGGAACTCCTACCAATCTTTGTAATGCAGTTGGAATTCTCTTGGTATGTTGGAAAGTTAAAAAGTCAGAAGATGTTTATTGTATGTCACATTGAAGTTGCATGCATTATACAATCCTATACGCCTTGAATACAGAGATGATTTTAACAGAGTATCAGGCTTAGACATTGCATTGTAAATGTATTGTGATAGTTTTAAGTTGAAACAGTTGTCAATTAGTAGACAGGAATTGTTTAAATGCTACAGTAGGTGACATGGAGAGGTAACATTCAGGAATATATTGTGTACGTAAATCTGTATAAGATGGACAGAGAAATAAAAAAATAATTTCATTTTCAATAGATAATTTACACAGTGTGCAAATTATTTTATCTGGCAAGGGACATATGTCTTCCTTCATTAATCATTAAGTTTGACAGGCCTAATCTAAATCGTATTAATGAATTTTGTAACTTTTTGGATGTTAACTGTGATAGGTACTGTTTGGGATGGAGTAACTTTTTAACATTCTATAGGAATAATTCTGGTGGAAAGTCTGTAAGGCAGTGTTTCTGTCAAGGAAGAAGACATAATTTTTATCAGTTAATTTAGACTACTAACACTCAAATATTAAATTGAAAATACATGTATTTAGTTCATCAGAGGATTTCATAGGTTTATAACTCAACATATGATATACATGTAGTTTCAACATCTTTCACATACTTTCAGTTATGTGATCTGTAGAATCTAACCTATTGATATAGTTCAACATACTTAAAATTCTTATATAGTGTCAAAGATTGTGACTGTTTCTGGTACGATATTAGTGTTAGGAATTGGTTAAAATCTCATAATTAATTATTGGTTCATTGCAACCGATCAAATCATTGAAAAGAATTGGTTAGCGTCATTTATCAAATTTCCTTGACATGATTGTTAATGTACAAGAAGAAAGAAAAAACACGTAGATCTAGTTCTTGGGATTTTTTTTACAAATTGCACAAAACGCTTTTGCAAATTTCACATCTTTAAAGGATGACTAGTAGTTTATGAACATACATTTCCTGGAGTCTTTAAGATAAATTCAATCATGACTTGGAACAAGCTTGTAGTGCTTATGAAATGTAAATTTAGCAAATGTTTAATGACACAGACAACACCAACCTTGTGAAAAATATTGTTAATGCAAACAAGTGTTCCAAAATTGTTTGTGTTCAATTATGAGAAATTGCTTGGTTATTTAGTCTTGGGTGATTTCATTTAGTTGGACTACCTCAAGTTGATATAATAATAAGAGTTGTAGGTAAGATGTGTTTGGCTCATCACCATGGGAGTGTTGTTACTTCAAATCAGATACTAAAACAGTTATTCGATTGAGTGATATCCAAAAGACTATTACTGACAAACCTGAAAAGACTGTCATAAAATAAATGGATCAAATTTGAATAAAAATATGAATAGAAATTTGAAATCTGAACTATATGACCCACTTAGAAATTTGTTAATATGTCAAGGACTCATGTTAGCCATAATTATAAAATTATACTGATATGATTTTGTGAATATGCACTGTTTCATGAACTTCGATGTGATAAAAGTAGCCTTGGGAGACTTTCACTGAGTTCAACATGGTCATGGCAGGTGACAGGGTTCTATTATACCCTGAGGATGGTATTGGAGATTATTGTTAAACACAAATAGACCTTATTTCTCATGTTTGACAAATGCAGATCTATATGATGTTACTATCAGACAAAATACCAATACCATAGGGTTGAAGATGGGCTGGATCCTAAACACAGTGAGCTGGACCATCTATACCCACTGAGATTTGACACTGTTGATGCTGTGCTGAGTTGGTTGCTATCATGAAACATAAACTTCAATTCTGGAACATCTGTTTATTATTTCCAGCTGCTTCAGAAAGGTATCACTAGACATTGATTAAACAGGCTTTCAATAAAGACATTGTTTTGTGCTTCATATATGAACACAAGAGAGTTCAATCACGTGTGTGTGTGTACGTGTATGTGTACCAATTTCTGTGACATGGATCTGATATCCTAAACAAATATGACCCAACCTGTTTAAATGAGCTGCTTCTGAGCAATGTTTCAAGGGTGTCTTAAAAATTATGTTAACAAAGGTTTAGGAGTATGCAGTACTGGTGTACAAAGCTAGGTCTTTGTTGGTTGGCACACTATGTCCTGTTTCACTGTGATCTCTCAATTAGTGCGAACAGTCAATGTACCAAGCTGAACCCATGTGATTGTCACGATGGCGTGATGCAGCTTTTTTAAAGTAGGGTGTAACTTGTGCTCGGGCCATTCCTTACTGTAATCTTCTTATTTCAACAAAAACAATTGATCAAGGTAGTTTGTAACATTGTCGTTGCATGTTTAACTTTAATTTACCCAACCACCAATTAAATTACAGCTTATATGAACTGAAACAGAGTTTTATCTGGACCTGACCAGGAGCCAGTATTCAGCCATATGTCAGTAAAAATTCCATCAATTGGTTTTAGATATTTTCACAATCCATGTTAACATGTATCCCGGTGTCAGGGGTTTTCGACGATGTAATACAAAAACGTATTCTGTAATATCATTTAAAGTTTGTATTTTACTAACCTTGAGTGATAAAGGATATATTCATCTATTTCACACAAAAATATCAAGTGTTCCCTACAAAAATAGCGTTGATGAAATCGTATCGGCGAAACTGTTGCCGCTCGTAACATCCGGGTATTTTGTATGGGTTTTCGACGATGAGCCATACGTTTTGCTCTGCACTGCGAGGGAGTGTTATGATCACGTGGCTTCCTATTTATTTATTGCCTGTCACCAGCAGACGACTGATCTAACTGAATTTTCACTTGCTATTTTTTGTTATAAAGGGAACTGATTTCGCATTGTAAGTGGTATTAATGATCTCGGGTAAATAATATTGATGTTTGTTTGCTTTTTATAAAACTTTACTTCCCGATTTCCATTGTCAATAAAACTTTTCACGACAGCGACTTGGCACCCGCCCTACCAGTGAAACTCTTTGTGCACGCCGATCGCACATGTACTCCCCCGATATAGCGCGTGCAATGCAATCGTCGAAATCACCAGAACGTCGAATTCAGCTCGTGTTGGGATACCATTGTTTACAGGACCATTAAAGAAGAAGAAATTTTAATTCTTTTTTAACATTATGGCAATTTTAGAAAGATTTTTGTGCTTGTTTTGACATTATGACAATCTTAGGAAAATAGCAAGCATAAACTCCTATTTTCTTAATAACATTCTTTTTTCCCTAATTTCCTTAATTCCTGCCCTTTACTTGCATTTAGCTTTGAATCCTAGGTAATTACTAGTCAAGTGTGCCTCTTGATCCAGGTATGGTCATGCACAACAAATGTATACTACTGAAAAGAAGTTAAGAAAATCCAGTTCCAACACATCACTACAGTTAATCTGTCAGATATGACAAGATCTCTTGACTGATGTGATTTACATATTTTACATGATTTGAATATTTGGTTGAACTTTGTTTATCATGTGTTACTTCAAGAAGAAAAGTCATGAAACAAGCTTATTCTTTTCTTAAAGTACATCATGACAATCAAGGGCTGGCTGAGTTTTTGATGTTAAAGTAGGCAGGTATGAACATGTAAGAGTGAGTGACTGAATATAGTTTTATACTGCTTTTAGCAATATTCCTGCAATATCATGGCAGGGGACATCTGAAATGAGCTTCAGAAACGAAACCTGGGTCTTTGACATGACAAGCAAAATTCTTAACCACTGTCCTGAAAATGTAAGAATTCATTTCCATTGGCCTTACATATGTTTGCTACACAAGTAATTAATTTTATTCAGTTAGATGCTAAAACTGTTTTAAACTTCCTCTTTGAAAAATTGAACATATATTATTCTCTGCCAAATTGTTTGATATGTCCACTGAAAAGTGTGGATGGCTGATAAAGATTTAAAAGAGTGCACAACTGGTCATGGCTCACAAGCGCATGCTGTTGAAACACCACATGTTCCAGTGCTGCACAGATGTGACTGCTTAGGGAAGGACAAATTGTTGGTGTTACTATGCCTGTTATCTCGACTCAGACAGCATACACATAGAGTTAGAGAGAGAAATTATTTTCTTTAGCATATAATATGGCTGGGATATTCTTGGGCATGTAATGCAGCAGGGAAATTTTTTGGGCATGTAGATCGACAGGGATAGTTTTGGGCATGTAGAGCGACAGATAGTTTTGGGCATGTAGAGCGGCAGGTATATTCTTGGGCATGTAGTTTGGCAGGGAGATTCTTAGGCATGTAGAGCGACAGGGAGATTCTTGGGCATGTAGAGCAGCAGGAATATTCTTGGGCATGTAGTAAGGCAGGGATATTCTTGGGCATGTTGGGTAGCAGGGATTGTTTTGAAAAATAATGTATTCATGAAGTGATTTGAAAGTAATATATCTCCCTTCTATTTTGTGCTCATATTTTTACGGAGGCATAAATTAACTTTTTGAAAGAATGTCCTGAAAAGTTGTGAGGAAGCTCCCTCATTGCTCACTCTCAAATTTGTTGGGTACTCTTCTCTCAGAGAATAACATAAATTATAGATGGA